GACACCGTGATCATGAAGGTGGTTTTCCCAGGGTGAGGCTCATCCATTGCACTGCAGGTGTGTGGACCTGTGCGATTTCCACAAGTGCAGGAAATAATTTGATAACAACAACGAGTGCTGATTTCCATACTGGACATGAGTCGAATAAGTGAGCATCCATAATTTCTACTCTTCTTTCCATTTTTGATGGAATCGTCCGACATCCTTACTCCAGGAAATGCAGAGATGAGTTGCCTGCACACCGCCTCTTTTCCAGAGCCGATTCTGCCAAAATGAGTTGAGACAGCACCCTGTGTGTGTGTGTGTTTGCTTCTTCTTGCAGGTCAGCATTGATGCTGCAGTGCGCGAGACCATCAACAACTCCCTGCCGTCACCCGACGCTCACATGTTTGATGAGGCGCAAGCGCAAGTTTATGCTCTCATGCACCGGGATTCCTACCCCAGGTTCCTGAGGTCCCCTCTCTACAAATCGCTGGAGCAGAGACTGACTATGCCTGTTGCTGACACCTAACCCAAACACAGGGACCCCAGGTTCAGTTCTCAAGATGCCAAGTTTTCAGACTGCCTACTGCTTGGTGACAAGAGGTCTTTGGAGGGTTGAGGTGTACAGAACAATCTGTGCGATATGAGCCTCTTCCTCCATCTGCTGAGTTGTCCCGTACAGCCATGTACTATTCCATCACTGGCATTTACGTACAGCAAATTCAAGGACGTATTCTAGATGAAGGGATGAGATCACTGCTTTCCAAGGTGTGGAGCCCAACCAGGATGTTCTAGAGCACAGGTTAACTAGGAGCCGTTTGGTTCTAGAGACCACACTAGAGCTTCATGAGATCTAGACAACAACACTTCTTTGTGCTGGAGGATTTGATAGGAATTGTCTCCTACGGGTATGCAGGATTCAAGAATGTGGAACCAGCCTCTGGTGGAGGAGGGATTTGTGGAACTGGGCTTTTTAGCATTCCCACCATGTGGTGATTTTGTGAGGGAAGAGGTCTGAGCTCTAAGACGATGCCAAATGAAAACAAAAACCTTCTTTGCAGACATTTCTGAGCCAAAGTAGCCTTGTTCTCTCCTTACCACTAGACATTCTCATTGGTCAACACTTTGGCTAGCAGAAATGGCATTGCCATTCTCAGTCGCAACTGCATGTCGGAACTAGACAAGTTAAAGATAAGCATGGAGGCCCTAATAAGAGTTACATGCAAAAGGCTACGGGTTGGGGACAGGAGAAGCCTTTCTCTGCTTCAAATAACCTGCCCAGCCCCCAACTACAGTCCCCCCTTTTTTGGAAAGTCAAAATGTTTTGAATGATAAAAGTAGGTCATATTATAAACAAACAAAAAACCTTGCATTTTCCATATTGTGATAAACGTAACTTATTTTCAGTTCTGTAATCAGATCAGAAAACAGCATGATTACACAAGGGCCAGAGCCCTGGAGGGGGACGCAACAGCTGCCACTGGAGGGCCAAAGGTTTTTTTGGAAGACCAAAATGCTCATTGAATCACCCCTATCTTCCTGCTGAGACTCTCAAAGCAGCCCAAGAGGTGATGGGACAGCGCTTTACTCTGCAGAAGCCATGCTGACTCTTCATCTGCCAGGCTTGTTCTTCTATAATGCTTAATCATTCTAGCTTTAATCATTCTCTTCACCAAGTTATGCAAGATGGAAGGTAGGTTTATAGGTTGGTAATTTCACGACTCTCACCTGTAAACTGGTGTTACACAGACCGCTTTTCAATATTCTGGTAAATAGGCCATTTTTGGTAAAAAAGGTTTTATTTAAAAAATCCAAAAGTTATACTTGAGGTTTTTTAACTCTTGGATCTATGCCATCCTAGCACAATGACTTGACCATAGGATGGTAAACTTGGAAAGGATCCTGAGGATCATCTATTCCAGCTCTCTGCAATGCAGGAATATGCAGCTGTCCCATACGGGGATCGAACCTGCAACCTTGGTGTTATCAGCACCATGCTCCAACCAACTGAGCTATCTGTAGCAATTAAGTTAGAGCTTTGGTCTATCTTAATGTCCTTGGCCATTTTTATTTGACACAATTCTTTTGTAAACTGGATGGCTACCCTCAAAAACACAGCTTTGCAACCTCCTGGGAGGAAAAAGTAACTCGCAGAGGCCATGTAGGTCACAGCAGCAGTAGGTTAAGCACAGACCTCCACACCTCCAAAATGCCCTAAAAAACAACTTTTATTGGGGGGGGGTGGAATCTAGTTTATGTTGCACACCATTGTTAGCCAAGTCTGGGTTTCAGCTGCTTACTCACCTTTTCCATCCCACTCCACTTGTATTTTGTCTACCTTCGCTTTCTACTAAATTTTAAACGAAGTCCTTAGCTGTGACGATCTAACGCACCAAGTTAGGGGTGGAGGGCTCCTGCCACTGCCTGCAGGTGGTGCTGCTGGCGCAGCTGCTTAGTATCTTTTGTGGGTAGACTGCCACCAGACATGGAGCTTCACTTCAGCAATCGAAAGGGGAAAGCTACGAAGGATTGGCATTGCTGCTCTGTACAAAGCGCAGATGCACAACGGAGCTGTCAATTTATCTACCTCAGCGTGGCAAAATAAGGGCCTAGCATTCAGGGCCTACAGGTTGTATGTCGGACCCAAGCTGTAATCTTGGACCGCTTTGTATGGAATAAAGAGAGCCATGTGTGGCCCCTGAATGCAAGTGGCGGGTGTCCCTCCATTTTGTTTCTCGTGTAGTTTCTCATTTTCAGCTGCAGACTTTTAGCAGATGGGCAATTTCCTGTGCAATGGAGCTTGCTTTCTTTCTTTCTTTCTTTCTTTCTTTCTTTCTTTCTTTCTTTCTTTCTTTCTTTCTTTCCTTCTTTTCCTGCCTTTCATCCCGAGTTCTTGGGACAGTTCACAATATAAATCCATCCACCCAACAGAGGATCAGAAAGTTTGGATTTTTATTTAGTGTTTCTCAAGGGGTAAAATATTTGCTTTAAATGTTATGGTTGTGAATGTGGCCTAAGAGACCCAGAACTGACAGATCCTTCCATCCCTGGGACTTAACTGGATAGAACCCAACAATTACATGGACACAGGCCACAAAACAGTCACGCACATGTAAAAACATGCACATCTGCTATGGGTTTATGTGCAAAAACATACAGCTTGTGGAGTGGAAGAGTCAGAGAGAAGGAATCCATTTTGCCCCCTGCCTCTACCACCTACCACACAGTTGGCTTACTCGGTAGTCTCAGAGCTGGGTGAGAAAACAATTTTAAAACTGTTTTTGCCACAAGAGATGGGAATGTGTCAACGTGGGTCCATCTGTCACTGAGAATACATATGTGTGCCTGAGAGAGGCTGTGTACACACATCCCATTTAAAGCACATTTAAAGCACTTGACTTGCCCCAAAGTATCCCGGAAACTGTAGTTAGCTGTGGGTGCTGGAAATTGTAGCTCCTGGGGACGATGACAAGCTAGAATTCCCAGGATTCCCTGCGGGACATAATGTGCTTTGAATGGATGGCACACATGTCATCAGAAGGTACCTGAGAGATCTCGGGTGGGGTGGAGGCAGAAAAAGATCACTAAAGGGGGCAGAGATGTGAATTGAGGAATTGCAAGAACGACCATAGCTCAGTGACAGAGTGTCTGCTTTGCTTGCAGAAGGTCCCAGGTTTTACCCCCGACATCTCTAGGTAGGGCTGGGAACCCAAGTCAGTGTATACAATACTCAGCTAGATGGACCAATGGTCCAGCTTGAAATAAGGTGGCTTGTGGTTGATGATCATCACATAGTCTTGAGACACCTGGGGCCGCAACCTTGCTGAAGCTAAGCAGGTCTAGAGCTGGTTGGTGCCTGGATGGGATGCAGCAATGCAGACCCAACATACACTGCCTTTGTGCGGCATCTTGGAAGGCAAGTGGGCTGCAAATGAAATCATATAATGACCATCATATCATGATTACTATTATTATAAGCACACCTGCTCCGCAAGAGGTGGAGATGGAAAACAGAGTGTGGGACAAACCTCTCACAATATTCTCCGTAAGAATAAAAATTGCAGCCGACAGACCTGGACTGCCTCCTTGTGGCTCAGGCACAGCATATCACCCAGTTGAGGCATGAGAGAAAGATCAGAAGAGCCCCATCTAGCCCCTATAGAAGACTTCGAGACTCTAGCAAACACCAGTTTGGCATCAACCTGTGGCATTTTAGTTGAGGGCTAGTTTACTTACACACACACACACACACACACAAACCTCTCCCTCCACGACAAACAAGAGGCATTGTCGGAGTTCAAGGACACATCCCAGCAGCCAAAAGGCATTCTGGGTATGAAGCAAGGATGGGGGAAGGTGTGACCTGTGGAGAGGCCCAAGGGCCAGAATGAGGGATCTAGAGGGCCGCATTCAGGCCTCAGGTTCCCTGCCCCTGATGTAACCCAAAATTTTGGTATGACTCTGCTGGAGAAACACCATATTCTGTTTCCATCCCAGAATGGACACACAGAGCAATGCGTGAGCATTCAAGAGTTTACTAACGTACAAGGGCCATCAATGATCATTTAACATTTGGTTTGTATAAGCTAAGTACCTGCTCCACTTCCAAAGCATTAAGGACACATCAAACGTTCTTAGAAATAGGAAATGGATTACCCTGAATTCCCACTCCCAGGTTTGTTGCAGTTTTCATTTCTCTGGCATCAGAACCAGAAGCACTCCAAGTGCAGCCCACTCACCTGTCCTAGGCTTATCTGGCAGGATTGACTGTGGTGTCACCTGCCATTTTGGGTTCCCCTCAGTGCCCCAGGCCACTTGTTACAGCATCGATCTGGGACATTTTGGGAAATCAAAATGGGCTGCTCCCAGTTAAGCTCAGGACTAGGGATGCAAGAAGGCAGTAGTTTGCGTTCCAACCCACCTTTGTTGCAAACACTGCTATTTCCTTTCCACTGCAGTTCATTTTCTGCCCAATTCTATGTTATTTGTCTTGCTAATTAATGTAATTTACACAATCCTTTACATTATGAATTTAATTAACTATGTAATTACTTTCCACACCATTTCAATGTACAGGAAATGTCAAAACAATTTTTTTTTTTAAAGTCATTAATTACTTGTCACTTGTGGGCTTTAAGAACAAACAAACAGGAACTTTGTGAATGAAAACCACCTGTAGTCACTGGATTTATTTCTGCTCTAAATGTGCCAAGAAACAGTAGAAATTCCCACATCCGTTTCCAACTGAATTCTCTGGGATCCCTTCTCATGACTGGGGGAATGAATGAGTGGGCTCCTGACACAGGGCACTTTGCCGAAAGATGCTTCTAATCTTTAGCCAACGCCATCTGCCGTGTGTAATGACTGACCCCATCCACAATGGCTACCTCTCCTAGAGCACATGTCACCAACCTTTTTCAGCCAATGGGTACATTACAAATCTTGAGACAGTGTCATGGCTGCCATGGGGGCCCGTCGCGTCACAAAATGGCTGCCACCGAGGGATGGCAAAATGGCCTCAACGTCTAAAAGAGCATTCAACCACCCCATTCAGAACAGATAGGAAATCAGACATCCACTGGCAAGTGGGCATGTTTAAGGCAGTGAGTTTAGTAGAAGAGAGGCCAAGCCTGTACAAACAGGAAGTGAGCAGGAAGAGGAAACAATCACTAGTGTACTGTGGTATTATTATTATTTTTTACAGGATATTTACAAAGACCTTTCGTGGGCACTATAGGAGGCAATGGCTGGCACACCGGCACCCTCAGGTGCCACACTTTGGAACCTCTGCCCTAGAGCTAGAGCCTGGAACCCTTCTGAAAAAGCATTATGTGTCCACCTTCCTGCTTCCATGGTGACCAGACGCAAGGGGAGACTGCCACTCAGCAGCAGAGCAAAGCATTGCATGCAGAGTCCTGCCATCACCGTTAAAGGGACCCTGGAAGTAGGAAGGGCTGGGAAAGCCTTTAAGTGGCTACTGCCAGCCAAAGCAAGAAGCAGCCCTGGGCCAGACAGGTCAAAGGTCTGGCTCAGCCTGAGGCAGCTTCATAGGAGAGGGAATGAGGGGATGTTGGTAGGTGACGGCTTGTCAGACAGGGGAGGGAGAAACTACGTCTGCTGAAAATTCCCTCTTCTGCTAGGAGTAAAGGAGGCTCATACTCCTGTACAGAAAGCCACCCAAAGGTTCCCCAACCTCTATCTTGTCAAGCAAGAGAGCATTTAACAGTTCCAGACACACTCCAGTTAGGCAAAAGCATTCAAGGAGGCACAATGAGGGGGAGGCCTAAGGGCCACATGGAGAGGCCCAGAGGGCCACATCTGACATTTGAATCCTCTGAAAGAGGTCATCCCCCAACAGCACACGATAAGCTAATGGGCTGCAGTCAGAACTGTATCCTACACTGATAAAAAATGATCTAAATTATGTGTCGTGAAAAGCTGGGTTCTGTGATCTGAAGGAAGTGTTGCGAGTTGGGCAGAGGAAGGAAGACCTTTTGCAGGCTACTGATGTGCCATATCTTGAAGACAAAGAATCTTCATCCACTCCCGGGCTTCAGAGAGTTTCATTATCTATTGCCCACACATGCAATTTCAAAGCTTAAGGGGTATAAACTTTTTATAATAACGAAAATGTGGAGTCTCAGAAGGTGGAATTCCGCACTCAAGCAAAATTCTGCACTTGCCCAGTATGTTCGCAGAACACAGCCTTCCTAATAGTGGCATCATTCCATCACCTGAATTAACAACAGACCATCACCACTCCTTTTAAGTAATTCACCCCTAAGGGTCCAGCATTTCCACCTTTCATGTGCACCCCTTCCACTTTCCTGCTGTTATTTCTTCAGTGGATAGTTCAAAGTTTCTTCTGAACGACTGCGACAGGACATCATCTTTCCATCACTGGAACATCCATCAAGGAACATCAGCAGAACTGCAAGGGGAAAGGACACTCTCTGAACATTGCTGGATCTTCTGGGACATTGCATGCAGGAAAGCCCCACCTGCCTCACCTTCAACATCCCCAGGTGTCCACACAAAGACAAATTCACCAGCACCAACATGGTCATGCCCCAGATTTGGTTGAGGAATTGGGCCGCGAGATTTTGACCTACACACACTGGGATTTAACTTGAGGGGACCTGGGCCATATCTAAATGGGTTGTCCTCGCATGGACATGAAGGGACAACAGAGGTAAAGCTGGTATGCTAGGAAGGGAAGGCATACACACACCTTCCCTTTGTGGCATGAGCAGCGATGCTCAGGAATTTTGCTCTGCCTGCATTTTAAGCGAACTTCATTCCAACTTCCCAAATCGATACATGGATCACAATGAAGTTATCCTTCCATTTTAGCCAGATTTTGAGAGAATTCCAAAATGTAAAATGAATGCCTTTTTTAAGGTATGATGTGTACACACAAAAATGTGCAAAGATAAAAACTTATTTGGGGTGGGGTGGGGTGGGAATACTACCTTCCAGCGGTTCCCACACTCGTTACACAGCACAAAGGTCGTCATTGGCTCATCAGCACTCCGTGTTTGCACCTGCAAGGAGAAAGTCAGCTGTGAGCTGGGTGTTTGCCTTTCTGAGCAAACGAGCACAAATTCCAGTAGCAAAGAGGCCCCAGCTTCCAAAATTTAATCCTCACAACTAAATTCCAGCATTTTCATTGCCACTAACAAATTTGGGCACATCAAGCTTTAAGCCACAATCTTGCACTAAGGAAAGCGGGATTCTGCAACTTGCATAAATTACATAAATTAAGCACAGTTGCTCGCTATGCATTTTGCCCCTTCTGCTAGTCCAAAGACAGAGCAAAGGGCCTGGCAGGGCACACACACAGAATGCCTATAGCTATATATCAATCTATATTATATTGCATCTGTTTACACAGACATTCCCTTGATCTCTCAACCCAAAACTCCTGGTCTAATTGTAAAGTTGCTTTAAAGGGAATGATGGATTTTTATATGTTTGTGTAACTGTTTTTTATAATCTGCAAGCCACTTGGAAGCCCATTTTTGCATTAAATGGTATATAAAGACGATATACTCGAGAGAGAACACCACCTGCACATCGTACAATATAATCCAAGTGCAAAAAAGGGGGGTGTCATATCCAGTACACGGGTAAAACTACAACCCATCTACACACGTTTTAGAAACCACAAATTTGCAATCTTGACCAAAACAGCGGAGCAAATAATTTCAGTTCTGAGAACCGCAGCCTGTCAGTCTTATCAATAATAGTTGCAGAGATCCCAACAGATCCAGCTATGTTAGCATACAACTATGGTGTACACACCAGGCACCTTAAGACTGCATGGCCTCAGCCTGGAGGATGGTACCAGCACTGCTTGGCTCTGATGAATGAAGCCATTCTAAGTGTGCCATCCTCAAAGCTCTATAACTGCCACCTTGGATACAGCATCCATTCATTGTTACCAGAGCAGCAGATGAAGGCGATAGCCAAAATGGCAATAGCCACGTAAACATATACAGTGCTCCCCCCCCAAAAAAATGTTTAGGGGTACAGTGGTACCTCAGGTTACATATACTTGAGGTTACATACACTTCAGGTTACAGACTCCGCTAACCCAGAAATAGTGCTTCAGGTTAAGAACTTTGCTTCAGGATAAGAACAGAAATCGGGCTCCGGCGGCACGGCGGCAGCAGGAGTCCCCATTAGCTAAAGTGGTGCTTCAGGTTAAGAACAGTTTCAGGTTAAGAATGGACCTCCGGAACAAATTAAGTACTTAACCCGAGGTACCACTGTACTCTCATTTTGACTCAAGAAAAATCACTCTTTTATAGTTCATCTTGGGGAAAATAAATACAGTAAATTGATAAAAGTACAAAGATTCATAAAATGTTTAGGGGTATGTGTCCCCCCAGAAAAAAACACTGAACACACACACACACACGTGTGGGGGGGGGTAGAGATCTTGCTCAGATTCTTCTGCGGTTCCTGAAATTGACTATATCTACAGTACAATGTGTAAGTTAACATCATTAGCATTCCTTTTCTCGCTGACTGCAGAGATCTCTTGTGAAGCACAGAGGGATTCGTGGTTGTTTTTTTACCATGTGAACGTGCCCAGCCTGATAGGTCTTTCCCAATAGCCTAGTCCACCTCTCCTCACCTGGTTGTAGGTACAGTTCTTCTTTTTGCATTTGCCGCACTGGAAGAGGTCAGTTGTGGTGCCTCCAGTCTTCGCCATCTGATGCTCTCGTATGGCTTCCTGGGTCATGGCGTTCCTCAGCTCCTTCAGTTCATCACTGGCCATTTCCTGCAATTAATTACTTAGTTAGAGCAGACTTTCTGCCTTACCAGTCCTAAACTTGCCACAGCGCTTTGCAAGTCCAAACCATCAGCTGGTTGTTAGGGCTAGCAAAGACCAACACACAGGAGACTGCAGAGGCTGACAGATCAATTCACATTCCTGCAAACCCCCATTTCAGCCCAGTCACATCTTTTTACCTGCTCACACCTGACATCCCATATATGCCAGGTGTGCAGAAGGAAGGTGAGGCTTGGCCAAAATGGCCTCATGCCCCTAAGGAGGCCTGCAGGACAGAGATTCCCCGCCACGGATGTAAAAAGTTATAGTCCAGCCTGTTCCTTCTCCTCCCAACTTACATCCGCCGTCATCCTGGCAATCAGGCTGGGCGGAATGGCTCCGGACAACACGTTTCGGCGCAAGCCAGGATTCTTGGGGTCCTTCAGGTTGCTAATGCGGCTCCTCACGCGGTTGCGGTACTTCATATCGGTGCCCTTCAGCTCCTGGTAGATATGTGGAGGCGTCAAGGAAGAAGGGCAAAAAGGATGATACACAGAATGAAATGGGTCACAGAGCTCAGTTGGCAGGGCGCATGCTCTGTGTGGGGGAGGCCCTGGGTTCAATCCACAGCATCGCTAGCGAAAAGGATTTCAGGTAGGAGGCAATGCAACAGATCTCTGCCCCAAACCCTGATTGCCATGCATCACAGATAGCAGGCCAGTCTCCACTGCGAGATCTGATCTCTCATGGTTTAAACCTTTAAAGCCCTCTATGGCCTAGGACCCTCACACCTACGGGACCGCCTCTCCTGGTATGTCCCACGGAGGACCTTACGGTCTTCAAAGAAAAACATCTTGGAGATCCCGGGCCACAGGGAGGTTAGGCTGGCCTCGACCAGAGCCAGGGCTTTTTCAGCCATGGCTCCGATCTGGTGGAACGCTCTGTCACAAGAGACTAGGGCCCTGCGGGACTTGACATCTTTCCGGAGGGCCTGCAAGACAGAGCTGTTCTGCCAGGCCTTTGGCCAAGGCACAGTCTGACCTCCTCTCTCCTTCTGTAATCCTCATAGAACTCTAACCCAATGGTCGATTCTGAATTGATTTTAGAATGTATTTTAATTAATTGACTGTGTGATTTTATGTACACTGTGCTATTTTTACTTGTTGTTAGCTGCTCTGAGCTCGGCTTTGGCCGGGGAGGGCAGGATACGAATAAAAAATACTATTATTATTATTATTCATCTGTTTTGGAGCCCAGAATCAATACTGTTATGCATAGAGCCCATTTACAAAGCACTTCCAGTACTTCATATTCATATTATATATATAGATATAAAACCGATTTGTAAGGTAGAACCCTTGGGATCAGCAACAGTATCCCAATTTTATAGATGGGAAAGTAAGACTAAAAGACAGCCCTGGAGTGAGTGATAGCAAAACACTGCTCTGGCCCACAGAACCCATCCTATCCAAAGGATATGATCTTCAATTTCAGCTGCCATCTTGTCGCAATTGACTCCAAACTCCTTGTAATCATCTGAGGAGAAAAGGAAGCGGAACAGAAGAGATCATTCTGTGTGCAACTTAGGAGTTAATTCTTGTTAGCATTAGTGGCAGGACTTTTGCTGAAGCAGCTCATGCCCTGGTAGTTCTGAGGGAGTTCCTCCTCTGCGTATGTGTTAATGTCTCCTTCCTCTGTACAGGGTCTGTACTAAGAAAGAAAAAACCTCTCTCGAGGTTTTGTTTTTCTACTTGAATTACACACTGTTTTTTGTTCAGTTTGCTCAATGAGGCGTTACCCATATTTTCCTCTCTGGATTCCATCTGCATTTCCCCATTGCTTCCCTAACCTAGGGTTGCCATATTTTAAGAAGTGAAAATGTGAAAACAAAAAGTGCCCCCGACCTGCACAGCATCTGAAGGCCCTCTGCTTCCCCATCCCTGCTGGAAAGTTTCCTGAGCCACAGAGGCATATACTGGCCTCTCACCATCCATTTTCAGAGCTGCGGAGACCATCTCAATGCATTTGTCCCGGACAGAGTCTCCTGTCAGGTAGCACGATGCCAAGAAGCAGGTAGAAGATGAAAATGTCGGAGTGATGGGGCTGGTTGGGGTCTTGGGCACATCTGGCCTAGCTTTGCTGTGGGATCTGAAGAGGGCAGAAAACAACAGGTCTTTGCACAAGCAGAAGATGGCAAATATCACCATGAAGAACGTCCCCCTTACCTAAGGTAGGCTCTCCTTTTAAGCCTAGTTCTTACTGAGGCAGTCTGTGGTCTAGCCTGGACCACTACAGACCAGGGGTAGGGGGCTTACATAACATTTCATTTCATAGGTTAAATTTCTATACTGCTCTTCATCCAAGGATCACGGGGAGGATTACAATATAAAAAAAAATGAACAACTAGATGATCCTCTCTATTATTTTTATTATTTTTAAAAATCTCCTTGTACTAGCCTAGTCTTCTCTCCGAAATTCAGCTTGCAAGGCAATTGCACACTAGCAATAACGTAATCCCCCACCAATGCTAGAACAGGGGAGCCACCCAGTGAAACTAACTGGGAGATTCAGAAAGGACAAGAAGCAGCACTTCTTCAAAAAAGTACATTGTTAACTTATGGAACTTGCTGCCACAAGGTATGTCAACAGATGGACACTAACTTGGGTGGTTTTAAAAGGAGATTGGACGAATTCATGGAGGACGAAGCTACCAACGGCTATTAGTCATGATGGATATAGGCATCATTCAGGTTTATTTATTTTACTTATTTATACAAATATCTAATATCTAAACCACTATATTGTAAAAAATATCAAAGCCGTATACAATAATATCCTTATATAATAAAAACACATTAAAATACAGTGATACCTCAGGTTAAGGACTTAATTCGTTCCGGAGGTCCGTTCTTAACCTGAAACTGTTCTTAACCTGAAGCACCACTTTAGCTAATGGGGCCTCCTGCTGCTGCTGTGTCGCTGCTGCACGATTTCTGTTCTCATCCTGAAGCAAAGTTCTTAACCCGAGGTACTATTTCTGGGTTAGCAGAGTCTGTAACCTGAAGCGTATGTAACCTGAAGCGTATGTAACCCAAGGTACCACTGTATTTTAAAATCAGAAACCATCAAGTAAATACTATGGAGAGATATATTCTTAATTGCCAACATAAGCCTGGCAGAACAGAAACGTTTTCAACAGCTGTTTAAAGGTGGAAACAGAAGATCTCTATGGGCAGAATATTCCTCAAAAAATACTATTTGAGGAGAAGCAATAACTGGCTTCCTAGGGGCATCTGATTAATAGCTGTTGGGAAAATGATAATGGACCAGATGGACCATTGGTCTGATCCAGCCAGCCTCTCCTTAATTTTTTTTGTGGCTCAGATTCATGGCAGGGTGGTGTTGTGGTTAGAATGTGGGACTAGAATCTGGGAGGCCAGGGTTGAAATCCCTACTCAGCCATGAACCTCACTAGGGGATCTTTATATCCTGTTTCATCTCCCCCCTCCCTCACTTGGGTAGGACACACAAATACCCAGCCATACCTCTCTTCTTTGCTATCGGTAGAATTCTTCCGAGACCCGGGAGGAGATGCAGCTGGGTTGGAGCCAGTGGAGGCCCTCCTGTAAGGAAGACAAAGAGGTGCAACAAATAAGATGCCAAAACACACTCACTGAAACGGGAGTGGGGGGATTCCCATATATAGTTAAATTTTATTAATATTAACCCCAGGCCGCTATCCTCAGTATATAACATTTAGTTCTTTTTAATGGCCCCATCTGCACTAAGCAGCACTGCACCACATGAAACTTCCACCAAGGAATTCTGGGACCTGTAGTTTGCTAAAGGTGCTTGGAACTGAAGTTCTGTGAGGGATAAACTACAGCTCCCAGGATGCTTTGAGGAAGCCGTGACCGTTAAAGCGGTATACTTGTGCTTCAAATGTATGCTGCAGATGGGACCCTGTTTATTAGCGCAGCTCTTGGCTCACTGTTTCATGGAAGATGAAGGGTAACGTATGAAATAAAGAACCAGGAAGGACTAGACTAGGAAACCGCCCATCCTCTCAGGGGACCAGTCAAACAGTTTCTCTGAACACTATGGACTAGAACAGGGATAAATTCCCTCCTGGGCTTGCAAAGCTAGCAATGGCGCCATGTAAAAGGCCAGCTATGCAGCATCAGCAAAGCTGACCAAGTAGCTTACCTGTCCGTTGACAGCCTCTTGGGAGAAGAGGAGGAAGCAGCAGTGGAGGTGGAAGATCTCGAGTCTTCGGAGTCTCTTCTTTTTTGTGGGAAAAAGGGTACAAAGTGCAAAAAAGAGAGCTATGAATTGCCAGACTGTTAGCTTGGAACACATGCTAACTGCCTTAGACCAGATTGGACTATGTTGTCCGTCTAGCCTGGTGTTGTCCACTCTGACCGGCAGGGTCTCAGGCAGATTATTCCCCATCATCTCCTACCCGATTAACTGGAGGTGCTAGGGATGGAACCTGGGGCTTCCTGCAGGTAAAGCACGTATCCTATTGCCGAGTTATGCAATCTCCACCCCCTAACATTAACATGGGAAATGGATGCCTGGACTTTGTGTCCATTGGAACTGGTGGGATAGGATGTAAAGGTAAAGGTAAAGGGACCCCTGACCGTTTGGTCCAGTCGTGGACGACTCTGGGGTTGCGCGCTCATCTCGCACTATAGGCCGAGGGAGCCGGCATTTGTTGTTGTTTTTTTAAATAAATTTTTATTAATTTTCCATAAGTAAAAAAGAAAACAAAGCAAAAACATAAATAAACACAAAAACGACTTCCCCATACCACCCCTTTTCTGCATTCTTGTTTCAAAATTTTCCAGCAACCCTTTCGTATTAAACTTATTTCTATTTCGTAAATTTAACTTCCATAAAATGATAAAACAACTGTAGTTCTTTATCTCTTATTACCCTGATCCTCTAATTTTCCAAATTACAACAGTTTTTAAGATAAACTTTGAATTTGTTCCAGTCTTCATCCACCGCCTCTTTCCCCCGGTCTCGGATTCTGCCAGTCATCTCTGCCAGTCCCATATAATAAAAATATGGAACGCTTCACGAATTTGCGTGTCATCCTTGCGCAGGGGCCATGCTAATCTTCTCTGTATCGTTCCAATTTTAGTATATGTGCTGCCGAAGCGAGCACGGGAGCCGGCATTTGTCCGCAGACAGCTTCCGGGTCATGTGGCCAGCATGACTAAGCCGCTTCTGGCGAACCAGAGCAGCGCACGGAAACGCCGTTTACCTTCCCGCAGAAGCGGCACCTATTTATCTACTTGCACTTTGATGTGCTTTTGAACTGCTAGGTGGGCAGGAGCAGGGACCGAGCATTGGGAGCTCACCCCGTTGCGGGGATTCGAACTGCCGACCTTCTGATCGGCAAGCCCAAGAGGCTCAGTGGTTTAGACCACAGTTCCACCTGCGTCTCTCTAAAGTAGGTGGAGCCAGAGCCTAGGATAGGCAGAGCCAACCAAGTCTAGTTTTGTCCCCATCCTCCTCCCTGCCGAGTACTGCAAGGGTAACAATGGGACCAAGGAGGAGGAGAAAGAAGCCAATAGGCAGTGCCACCCCCTGGACTGGTCACAGTTAGAGTGCAGTTGGGTGGGGTTGGTAGACTGGAGGTGGGGCAGTGAGCCCCTTGCCCTAAGGGATCAGTCTCCACTGGCAAGATTGCTTCCCAGGAAACTGAAATATTATGAGATCCACTGAAGAAAGATAAGGACACGTACCTCTCTTTTTTAGGTTCCAAGTGGGATTTTTTCGATGTAGCTGAAGCACTTCTGGGATCTCTGCATAGAGGGACACAGCATGTTAGATTGCCTGAATTTGGCATTCTTCAGTTTGCCATCTCCAGCATCATGCATTTCAGTGTCTGTGCTGGCAGTAGAGGTGGCTTCTCCAGTTGGCAGAATTTACCTCCTGAACTTATCATAGAATATAAGGGGAGATAACTCTGAGCCCTGCCAAAGACGTTCTTAATCCAGCAGGCAACATAAGGTGGTGTTCAGGTTTATGTTCAGCTTTATGAGGAATTTTAATTGCTTTATCCTTTGTAGGATTATCCTCTGCTTAGAGTGTGTTCAGTACATAAATGCCTTTTTTTAGAAAGAAATAATTGAAAGAGAATTGAACTGATATGGAGGATGCTCTTTGGGGAAATTAACTGGGGCTAAATGAATAGAAGAGACACAGATTTGGGGTGATCTGGAACGGGGTGCAAAATAATTGAAGAATTTATCTGGGTTGATTTGGGTGGGGAAATTAGCTGGCTTGCTTTCCACAACATATGAATTCTAAATGTGCACCTACTTTATATCAGTAACGTGCATTAAATGTACACTGGCACAGTGGTTTTCCACTGGTCCATACCCCAGACCCACCTCTGACTCCCAAGCTGTGGCACTGGAACCCACATGCATATTTTCCCCTTTGATTTATATTTAATAGTGCTAATGATGCACGTTATTCCGTCCTAACATGGAAACCCCCAGAGCAATATTTGCCTTGGCATTGCCACTAAATGAAAAGCAGTCTTGCAATGTGGCAGGAGGAAGATGCAAGCATGTGGCTAGCCAGAAATCTTCATCTTATTTTTAAAAAAACGGCTCATGCCTTTCTCGTATTACATTGCAGCACCTGTGGAAATTGATAAAATGAGCAGCTCATAAGAAGAATGCACCCTAGTCTTCGTGCGTGTCTGGAATCCCAACATGGCAGCCACAGCCCTGCAAATAAAGCTCTGTGGATCCATGCCCTGAATCTTTTCTATGCCACTTGGTTGCCGGCCATAAGACAATTGTAAAACAAAGCTTTACCTATCTGATGCTCATCATATGCAGCTAACTGGGTAGCAGCAAGAACACTGGAAGCTCTCTCTGTTTAATGGAGCTCAGAGCATTCCCCAAATCTATCAGCGCAGAGCAGCTCTGCCATCTGTCAAACGGTGGTTAACAAGGTCCAGGGACAATCCTGGCTCACCCCACCATTTTGCAAATGACACAGAATAAGCGATATAGTTGCTGTTACAGGCGCTGAAGTGGAAAGTGAAACTAAACAGGGCTGGCAACCAAGATGGGCATTTTTCCAAGTACAAGCAGAGAACACCGTGGCGAAGGGAGCGCCTGCTTAACAAGATGCCGTCTCTTAGGCTAAAACAAGAAACACCCTAGAAACTGGGCAGGAGCTTTTGCATATGCTTAGGCCCAATTAAATGTCCCTACAGTTGCCCTTCAAGGCTATCCCGTTTAAAAATAGATAGGGGTGACATATAAGTGATTTCATTCTGGTTAAGCCTCCCACCTGGAGACTCATATAAAACTTAAATTTCTTGAGTAGGGATGGGGGAAACCTGTCCATTTCAGTTTCCCATTTTCCAATCTTAAACTCAGTTCTCCACATGTCCACATCAGCCTGTGGCATCCCGAAATTTCATCAACAGATTCATCCAAATACAGTCATACCTTGGTAGTCGAACGGAATCGGTTCTGGAAGTCCGCTTGACTTCCGAAATGTTCGGAAACCTAAGCGCGGCTTCTGATTGGCTGCAGGAATCTCCTGCAGCCAATTGGAAGCCGCGGAAGCCCCGCTGGATGTTCAGCTTCCAAAAATAGTTCACAAACCAGAACAGTCACTTCCAGTTTGCAGTCTTCGGGAGCCAAAACGTTCGAGAACCAAGCTGTTTGAAAACCAAGGTACGACTGTTTACAGATTTTTGCAAAGCAATTTTCCCTAATACAAACCAGCCACAGATGCTAAAAGTCACTCTTAGGCATAATAATATTGTGCTATTGTTGCTGCTGCTCATCATCAACATATACGGTTCTAGACTGCCCTCCATATCAAAGGAATCCAAGGGTAGCGTAGAGCAAATTATATCATCATATATACTTTAAAAATTTGGCTAAATTCTAGTAGCAAAGAAGGCTACAGAGGTATATCTTTGCAACTAGTTAGAAGTGGTGGTAAGAAGTGTTGCTCCTGGTGAAGAAATTTCTTAATTCTGTTAACGCATTGCGAATTACGGTATGTAACATTTTTGGTACTTTGAGAATTTGTTCTTTCTGTTGCTTTTCCTGCATCCAGTGCCTTCATCTCCCTTTCCTTTGGTTTCCTGCTAACTGGGGGGGGGGGGTGTAGTAGCAATTTTACCACTAACAATATTTGCCGACTTTGAAATGTGATATCTACAACAGAATCGCTTTTTAGAGGGAAGACAATTGGACCCGATTCAAATCAACATTTGCACCTCCTTGCACTAAAAGCTGTGAATGGCCCTAACATGTGAATACCGGTCTTTTTGTTTTCCACTAGAACTTTTGCAGAGATTCACAGGGTGGGAAATGGTGTCTTCGGTTTTCCAGCCAGGGCTATCAATCCCTTTGTCTCTCTCTTTCTTTTTACTCTTCTCCGTCCCCGACTCTAAAAGAGAGAAAATGGGACATTCAGGTACAATCAAATATTGTAAAGTCTTCTATATTTTCTAGTTTCCTTAGTAGTTTCATATACAGTAAGCCCTGCGATATTTTTCTAGCACCCTCACACTTCTACTTGCTTTGTGAGCATCTCAAATTTCAATTAAAAAAACTTGCATTAAAAATAATAATTTGATTTTCAGTTATATGCATTTCAATAGTTTTACAATCATTCCAACATTTCCAAACTCAACTTTCTTCCTCCTCTTTCTGCGGTTCCTTAAATTTATTTCTTACATTTCCTGCATATTCCAAATTAACTTTTTTTTATTCATCTACTTTAAATATATACTGTTATGAAACTTCAGGTTATTACAATAATCCTGCCAATCTTACAGTGTGTTTGTAAATATTCAATAAACTATTTTCATTCTTTTATAAAAAGTTTGTTATCTTGATTTTTTTATTTTCCTGCTAAGTTTTGCCATTTCTGCATATTCCATAAGTTTTTGTATCCATTCTTCTTTCGGCAGGACTTCTTCTTCTTTCCATTTTTGGGCAAATAACATTCTTGCCGCTGAAGTCGCATACATGAATAAATTTCTATTCTGTTTAGGTAGTTCTACTCTGTAATGCGTATGGGGTTGCTCATGCGTAAGCTGCCGCCTCTCCAGGCTAAATTGCCTTGTTAAACCTTTCTGACTGGACAGCTCTTCTCACCGTGGCTGCCTCAGTCGCTAGCAGAATCCGTCAGTGGGCGTTTCTTAAACCTCTTCCAACATAAAAGTTGTTTGACGTCCAGTCTCCTCCTACTCTCACTGCACGGAAGTCTTCTGCGCAGGGAGGGCATGGGTAGCGGAGGACCTGTGCTCTCCCCGCTGGTGCCCAGTGAAGAGTCCTGGAGCCCTCTCGCCGATTCCCCCATCTGCCCCCCTTTATCCCTGGTGTTGCGCTGATTTGCTTCCCCCTCTACTGAGCTGCCTCTCTCCCTGCTGGGCCCTTCTCCAGCATCATCTGAGAGCCTTCTCTTCGCCTCTAGCTCCGATGTCAGTTCCCTGACATACTCCTATAATTCCCAAAAGGAAAGCTTCTGGGGTTATTTTTTTACAAATGTTATTTTAAACATCTTTTTCAATTCATTATATATCATATCCCAGTAAGTTTTAACCTTACTACAATACCACACAACACAAAAAGTTTCAAGTCCCCACGAATGGGGAAAGATGCTTGCAAACTGGAGGGTGGCAATGTTTTTGAAATCGTAATAATTCAACGGGACTTGAGGAGTTGTGGATTTTTACATTGAAGCAGTTGCAACTAAATTCCACCAAACCCCTAACAGCACACACCAAGGCAGAGATGCTGATAACTAAAGTTAATAATTACATGATTTTTAAGAAGACAACAGCAGTCACAGCTGGGGCTGGGGATTTTGATCAGAACCACAACAAGGGCAAATGGTTTTTATAAATAGAAGAAGAAGAAGAAGAAGAAGAAGAAGAAGAAGAAGAAGAAGAAGAAGAAGAAGAAGAAGAAGAACAACAACAACAACAACAACAACAAGCTCCCTGCTGTGATCCAGATTTGCCCCATGGCTATAAGGTAAAGGTAAAGGTACCCCTGCCCGTACGGGCCAGTCTTGACAGACTCTAGGGTTGTGCGCCCATCTCACTCTATAGGCCGGGGGCCAGCCCTGTCCGGAGACACTTCCGGGTCACGTGGCCAGCGTGACATAGCTGCTCTGGCAAGCCAGAGCCGCACACGGAAATGCTGTTTACCTTCCCGCTAGAAAGCGGTCCCTATTTATCTACTTGCACCCGGGGGTGCTTTCGAACTGCTAGGTTGGCAGGCGCTGGGACTGAGCAACGGGAGCACACCCCGCCACGGGGATTCGAACCGCCGACCTTTCGATCGGCAAGCCCTAGGCACTGAGGCTTTTACCCACAGCACCACCCGCGTCCCCCCCCATGGCTATAATTCCGTTTAAAACAACAAGAACAATCATGTCCAACTCCTTGCATGCTTATCATCAGTCTCCTTTGTTGTTCTGCTTGGTAAGACAGGACTTGTAAATCATCAGTGATGCTTTCCACTGTTGGAGGCAGTATACCTCTGTATACCACTTGGACTACTACAATCCACTCTACGTGGGGCTACCTTTGAAGGTGAACCGGAAACTATAACTAATCCAAAATGCGGCAGCTAGACTGGTGACTGGGAGCGGCCGCTGGGACCATATAACACCGGTCCTGAAAGACCTACATTGGCTCCCAGTACGTTTCCGAGCACAATTCAAAATGTTGGTGCGGGTTTACAAAAGAGTAGGGATTGGGGGGGGGAGTTGATTCAGCACGCTTATAAAGTCAAACTTACTGGTTTCGTACTTTCTGAAACAAAGCACAAACGGAATCACAACTATCCCTAGCCTAACCAAGATGGGGAACAAAATTTAGTTCAGTTCAAATTTTAATGCATACCTACTGGCCTTGGCTCAGTATACCTGAAGGAGCGCCTCCACCCTCATCAGTCTGCCCAGACGCTGAGGTCCAGCTCTGAGGGCCTTCTGGAGGTTTCCTCACTGCAAGAAGTGAGGTTGCAGGGAACCAGGCAGAGGACCTTCTCAGTAGTGGCACCCACCCTGTGGAGTGCCCTCCCATCAGATGTCAAAGAAATAAACAACTACCTGACTTTTAGAAGACATCTTCTAAAACGCTGAGAAGGCTTTTGATAATGTATCCTGGCACTTCCTCATAAAGTGTATGGAAAAGGTTGGAATAAGAGGGCCATTTCTAGAAGCTATAAAGTCGATTTATTCAGAGCAAAGAGCGAAAGTAATTATCAATAGCAACTTGACTAACCCACTTAAGATTACCAAAGGTACAAGACAGGGGTGCCCCCTGTCGCCCCTGTTGTTTATCTTGGTTCTGGAAACTCTTCTAAACAAGATAAGAGAAACATCTGAAGTAAGAGGGATCAGAATAGGCACAAAAGAGTACAAAGTTAAGGCCTACGCTGATGACCTAGTAGTTTCAATAGAAGACCCCGCAAAAGGGATTAACACAATGATTGAATTAATGGAAACGTTTGGTAGACTATCCGGCTTTAAATTGAATAAAAGCAAAACGAAGATGCTGATAAAAAATGTAGATGAACAACTAAAAAATAAAATCGAGTTGGAATCCGGGTTAACGGTATCGAAAAAGGTTAAATATCTGGGTATCTGGATTACACCAAAAAATATAAATCTGGTGGAAGATAATTACAACAGAACTTGGAAAGAGTGCAAAAGAGACCTAGATAGCTGGAATAGATTACAACTCTCTTGGGAGGGAAGAATGGCAGCCATCAAAATGAGCATCCTTCCAAGGATGATATTCCTATTTCAAAACATCCCAGTAGTCAGGGGCACAACTATGTTTAAAGATTGGCAGAGGACCCTTTCCAGATTCATCTGGCAGGGTAAAAGGGCCAGAATCAAATATAAGTTGCTCACTGACAGAAGGGATAGAGGAGGGTTTGCAGTGCCAAACCTGCAATTATACTATGAGGCGTCATGCCTCTGCTGGACTAAGGAATGGATAGCTTTAGACAACACGGACCTACTGGATTTGGAGGGTTTTAATATTAGACATGGGTGGCACGCGTACCTGTGGCAGGACAAGGGGAAAGTACACAAAGGATTTTCCAACCATATTATAAGAGGCGCGTTGTTGGAGGTGTGGAACAGGTGCAAAAGGTTAGTAGAAAAAGATACCCCTTGGTGGCTGTCACCTGTTGACATCCTAATAACTAAGAAACTAAACATGGAAGGTAAAAGATGGACATACGCCGACCTCCTAAGAAGATCAGATAAAGGATGGGAAATTAAAACTTACGAAGAATTAAAAGATAAACTATCGGGATGGCTCCAATATCACCAAATTAATGCTATTTGGAGGGAACATAAAAAAACGGGAATGAGTAAGAACAAATCCAAATTCCAACTAGAAATAATAGAGGGAAAATCTAAACTCCTAACTAAAATGTATAACCAGTTACTAGACTGGGATACAATGGATGAGGAAATCAAAGATGTTATGATTAAGTGGGCTATAGACCTAGGACACCCCATTGAATATGAAAGATGGACAAAATTATGGACTAAAGATATGAAATTCTCAGCTTGCGTCAGATTCCGAGAAAATATGGAAAAAATGATGTACAGGTGGTACATCACACCAATAAAATTAGTTAAAATGTATAGAACTGGGGACAAGACGTGCTGGAAGTGTAGGAAGAAAGAAGGAGATTTCTTCCATATGTGGTGGTCCTGCGAAGAAATAAAAAAGTTTTGGGGGTTGGTATATGATGAGGTGAAAAAGATCCTAAAGTATACATTCCCCAAAAAGCCTGAGGCATTCCTCCTAGGAATGATAGGAGAAGAAATTAATAAAGACGACCAAATCTTTTTCCAGTATGCGACAGTATCCGCAAGGATACTGTTAGCGCAGAGTTGGAAAACATCGCATATCCCAACGATCAGTGATTGGCAGAATAAATTAATTGAATACATGGATACAGCAATAATGACTCAAAAGATCAGGCAACAGAGAAATAACAAATTTATTAACGACTGGAATAAATTTCTCTCATACATGGAGTTGACTTTGGGAAATGTAAAAATCACAGTTGGTATGATATAAAAACCGCGAGGTATGAACTACGACTAGATGAAGACACTGCTGAATATATTGTTGAGTTATGGCTCTCGACGTGGTGGTGGGAAGTCTGATAATGAATCTGATTTATATAAGATATGTGTACTTAAGTAATAAGAAACTTAAAATTGGTTTTTGTATTTCAATTTTTTTGGTATTTTTCTTTTCTTTTTGTTTTTGTGCCTGTTTTTATGGAAGATGTATTTATGTTTTTTAATTGATGTGACATAATAAAGGTTTTTTTAAAATTTAAAAAAAAAAAAAATAGAAGACATCTGAAAGCAGCCCTGTGTAGAGAGGTTTTTAATGTTTGATGTTTTATTGTGTTTTTAATATTCTGTTGGGAGCCGCCCAGAGTGGCTGGGGAAACCCAGCCAGATGGGCAGGGTTAAATAAATAAATAAATAATAACAACAATTATTATTATTATTCCAGTGCCTGGGAATCGCAAGTGGCGAGAACTGCTGTTGTTAAAATGGGGTGTTCTGTTTGTTTTGTTTGTTTGTTTTGCTTGCTTGCTTGTTTGTTTTCTTTAAAAACCTAGATCCCTTTTTTGACCCTCAGCTTCTGAAAGCAAGCCACACTTTAAAATACAAACTAAATCCTTTGCAACCAGTCTTTTCAGGTCGGAATAAACCTTCTGAATAAAAAAAGAAAAAGAAACCAGGAGGTAACTCTCCAAAACAAAGTGTGGGATGAACAACTATCTTCCGCTAGTATTTCCAGCAGTAACCGTCAGGTCTATTAACTCCTACAAGAATATAGCACACATTTCCAAACTCTCCAATAGCAGTTATTACTGTAGTTGCATGAGAAAATGCTATGCTATTGAGTTGTAATGGAACACTCCTGTACACATTTAACCAACCAAACACCACTGGTGTGTCATACTGTCTCTGTGAGAGTTTGTAAAAGCAGCACCCAGTTAGTTACTGATTATGAGAGAAGCTCTTAGTTCCAATTTTGCTTCCCTGGAAGAAACATACATGGTCAAAAGGGCAAACCACAGCCCCACCAGTACTATTTGGTTGTCTATTAGAGAGTGGCTACATATGCACAGACGGTGTTGGAGAAAGACAATAGGCACACTTACCTGCCTGGGCCTCACTCTCACACCATCACCTGTATGATGTGCAACACCCACACAGTATCAGCCGATAGTCACCCCAGCTATGTATACTCTGCATCCTACTAGTCCCCAATGTCTCAATATGGAAGAGCCGGGGCTCTCATTTTCTTGTCTCTCTGACCCAGAATCACCCTGTCATCCAAAGCTAGCATGGCTAAGAACCAGGAACGATGGGAGTTGTAGTTCAGCTACATCTGGAGGACTACACATCCCCTGTCGTTGCTCTACAGGCCCCTCTCCCTTGGGGCACAAGGCCTCACAAATCCCAACACCCTCAGCTAATGCGGTTTTCTTGAAGTCTAAGCAGCTTTCTAATGGTGATACTCAGAGAACCTGCTGGCATTTTTTTGCCACCCACAACAATGCAATCTTACCCAACAACCTCTTCCAGTTCTTGATGAGGATTTTCGCCAGAGTTACCACCTCCTCGTCAGCACAGTGCTTGCGGATTGTGTTGACAGCCACGCCAATTCTTGTGGTCTGAGAGACAGAGAAGAGGGATCAGCAGCCGTTTATGCAAGAGCTCTCAGTGAGAGAGCAAATGCTTTGCATGTGGAATGTCCCTGGTTTAATCTTTCACGTCTCCAGCTTAAAAGGGACCAGGGAACAGCTGGAGGATTCAGAGGCCCATGTCAGGCAGAGCTGACCTTGCAAAGCCAAAGCGCTGACCTCCAGATGTTGTTGGACTACAATTCCCATCAGCAGCAGGGATGATGGGAGTTGTGCTCCAGCAAACATAAGGAAAGCCTGTTGGGTCAGGCCAATGATCCATCTAGTCCAGTATCCTGTTCTCACAGCAGCCAACCCACTCTCTCCCATTGTGGTTCCCAGCAGTTGGTATTCAGAAGCATAACTGCCTCTGACCATGGAGACAGAGCGTAGGTATCGTGGCTAGTAGCCTCATCCTCCATGAACTTGTCCAAAGCCACTTCTGCCCTACGGAGGAGGTGGGGTTGTGGGCTTCACGCCCCCCCCCCGTGCGCACGATTGGGGGGGATTCCCGGCCGCGTCACCTCCTGGCCAGCCAATTGGAAGGCTCTGGGGGTGTGACCTGCCTTATTTAAAGCAGGACGCACTTCCTGCTTTTCCCACCCTATAAGGTTTTCATTCCTTGACCTTGCTATGGACCTTGGTTGATCGCCATTGAGGGGCCTGGCAGGAATTTTTCCACTTGGCAAATCGGCACCAGCCACTTGGTTTTCGCCTACCTCATAGCAAATCATCACAACTTTCTTGGTATTGGCAGTTAGGCATTGGTATAGTTCCGTAGATGGAAGAGGGGAGGTAGCGCCATCACCTGCCCCACATAATGAAAGGTAGTCCAATAAAGGATTCCGGGGGGGGGGGTGGCCCTGTCCAAAGCCTGGGGAGATGAGGGCCTAAGGCACGCCCCCTATCGGTGACCCCAGGGGAGTTCCTAGTTGATGTGCATCAGCAGGACTCCCCCTACTGGTGGTTAACCCTTCCCGGACTTCAAGCGGACGGGCTGAAGTCGGATATAGTCGGCTAGGACCAATGCCTACGCCAATACCACTCATCACCTGTAACCAATAAAGTTGTGGCCTTATTTAGCCCATTAACCTTAATAATTGTGTCAAGTGTCATTATTTCTCTAAAGAGTCCCAAATGCTGGACCCTTTCCCTGTAGTGGGGCTGCTCCACCCCCATGATCATCTTGGTTGCCCTTTTCTGAACTTCCCCCAACACCCTTTTTGAGATGAGGCAAATGTCCAGACAGCACCTCGTTGGCCCAGAGTATTTATGGCCCAGAATTCAAATACCTGCAGCAGCTGGATGGTCATTGTGCAACTGTTCAGTTTCTTCAGTAGGTCGAGAGCTCCTTCCTAAGAAGGGGAAAAACAAACACACACACAGGGAATATTAAAAAGCCTTAAAATATGTTCTCCTTGTCTCCTGCAATATGCCTATTGTAGTGACAATCTCTTGAGGCGCGGGTGGGGAACCTCAGACCCAGGGGCCAGATGCAGCCCTCCAAGACCATTGTATCTGGCCCTTGGGAGTTTCCTGGCTAGGACACATCCTTGAACTCAGATCGTGCTTTTGGCTTGCCTGGATGGAGGACAGAGAAGGGCATGTCAGCCCAATGAGCGTTTGTCCCATTCCACCCACTTTTACCCCTGCTCACTGCTGATTGCTGGTGCCAGAAAGGCGGCCCAGAAGGGGAGGTGGTGCTCTAGAATTGAAAAAGGCCCCCCATACCTGCTTCAAGGGAGGATGCCCTCAGTGGTCACTAAGGGTGGAGCCAGGAGTCAGCAGACACACTCTAAGGTTCATGGCTCAAGCAGAAGGCCCACAACAAACCACCAGAGCCCCTTAGAGCTGCTCTTGCTCTTCTTGCCACTGGGAGAAAATGAATGTTTTTGCCTGGTGCCTAAAGATATGGAACGAAGGTGAACTTCCCTGGAGAGAGCATTCTTCAATTGGGGAGCCACCACAGAAAAGGCCCGTTGCCACATTCCAGACATGAAGATGGGCTTCAGATGATGATCTGATGATATTGCTGCCTCACTCCTGACACTGCTTGAGACCATACCAATTTGGTGTCTGACTGTGGTTGTAAAAAAGGAGCCACAAACAGACAACCAGCCAGTGCTTGCGACGGAGCCAGACTGCAATGACTGCATGCATCATGACAGTGCTACCCACCTTTCAACTTATGCATATTTTGGCATGCCAATACAAATCAACTCTAGGTGGCAGGTTTCCAGTGGCACAGCCCAAGCTTGAATTTGGCACATTGCAATGAATGAACCCCAGCCAGATGGGCAGGGTAGAAATAATAAATTATTATTATTATTAAATAATTATTAGGGCTGGAGGTTTCTGTGGCCAACACGTACCATTCGCAAGAACATGGGGCAACATGTCCCTGTCCCCCCCACCAGCAGGCAGACCCTTATCTGGAAATTCGTTTCAGGGGAAAGTGTTGACACCACCATGGGTTTTTGTGGAAACCTGACATTGCAAAAGCCAAATGTTGTTTCCTTGTCAACGGAACGTCTGTCTGCGTCTCAAATAACTTCTGCAATTGGCCGCAGCAGCCCAAGCAGGCAGCACATGTGACTTCCAATGGGCTCTCTCGCCTTTGGGAAAACAAAAACTCTCTCGCAGGTGATGGGTGGGTGAGGGAGTCACCAATTGATTTCCATTGCTCTCCAAGATGATGTCACAAACATACATACTGCAAACATTTTACACTGCAGAGCTTCTGATTTCTGCACCCGTCTATTAGGTAAGTTTTTAATATTTGATGTTCTATTGTATTTTTGATATTCTGTTGGGAGCCGCCCAGAGCAACTGGGGAAACCCAACCAGGTGGGCGGGGTATAAATAATAAATTTATTACTATTACTATTATTATTATTATTGACAAAGAGGTGCCTCTCTCTGCTGTTAATACTTCTATACAGGGAAAGGAAGACATCAGTAAACTCCTCGATCCCTGCATAGTTACAATAGGGGTGAGTGCACCCTTAATACTTCTGGTTGTGGGGGTGAGCTTTCTTTCATATTGCCCATTGTGTGCTCAGGTTTCTAGTCCCTAAGGCAAGGGTGGGGAATCTCAGGCCTGAGGGCCAAATGTGGCCTACTTAGCTTCTCAAACTGGCCCTCGGGTCTCTCCCTAAGCCGCACACCCCTCTCTCCAAATGTCAAGGCTCCAGATGGAGAGCTGCTGCCAGCCGGTGTAGACAATACTGAGCTAGATGGACCAATGGGTCTGACACAGTATAGGGCAGATCCCTGTGTTTCTTCATGCTCCCTTCCCAGGTCAGAGTCTCCCTAAAGCAGGAAAGCCTTTTCCCCCCTCTATGCCAGCATGATCTGCAAAATTACAGTGGTTGCAGCAGAACCTTCAAATATTGGCCTTAAGTCTGTGGAGGGGTGGGTGTTGAAGGAGATCTGGCAGAGGAGGGCAGGGAGGAGTTATTTACAGTCATTGCACCCTAGAGCAAAGTTTGCAAGGGAAGTCAAACATTAACTTCAACTCAAGGTGCAAATCTTGCTCAGTGGTTCATCTTCTGCCGGGGAGCCAAAGGACAAAATCCTCAGACCGCTCAAGTGAAATAAGAATGGCAAAACATCCACTGACCTACACCAACTCTATGGTGGTGTAGCGGTTTGAGTGCCGGACTAGGACCTGGGAGACCAGGGTTCAAATCTCCCCTCAATCATAAAGCTCACTGGGTGGGTGGCCTGGAACCTCAGCCGAACCTACCTCACAGGCAAAACAAAAAAAAATTCCTTCCAGTAGCACATTAAAGACCAACTAAGTTAGTTCTTGGTATGAGCTTTCGTGTGCATGCACACTTCTTCAGATATGCCACCTTGAGCTCCTTGGGGGGAAAGGTGGGATATAAATACAATTTTTTTTTAAAAAAAGAATGTGTCCATTCTCGAGTAAATGCAACAGAACCTGTCCACAGGAAGATAATGCAAGGACAGCTGTGCACTTAGAGAATTTTGCACTGTGTGGGCTTGTGTCCTCTCCACTCTGGGCATATATGGTGTTATAGGGCTGAGCCCAAGGGCTGCATTCCCTCCTGGGCAGCCTTCCAAAGGGACCTGACAAGGGTGGGCGGGGCCAGTGGCAAAAGTGGGTGGAGTAACAAATGCAAATTTTGCCTTTATACAAGGGGGCTAGCTTCCTTTGAACACACACTCTTCTCTGTGCAGACAAGCAAGAGACTTGATTGGAGTTCAAGGACACATCTCACAGGGCAAACACACTCTGGTGTGCAGAAGGACGGACGAGGGGGGTGGCCTGGGGTCCAAATTCCAAGGGCTGGACAGAGAGGCCATTTTATCCTCCATCCAGGCAAGGAGAAGGCATTATCAGCATCCCAGCCATGCAAAAACGCTCAAGGAGGGTATGAAATCAAGGCCGATGACGGGTGAGGTCTGGGGAGAGAGGGCATGACCCCTGGGGAGAGCCAGCCAAGGGCCAGGAAGAGAGGACCACATCTGGCCCCCAGCTCTGAGGCTCCCCACCCACACTGGTAAGCTAGCTCTGCCACATTAAGGGACCCTCCTGCTCATTTTGCTGGGAGGGGTCCTAAACTCCTCAGCAAGAACATGTCCTTTACTTGTCCCTAATCCACAAAGCACATCCCTCGTTTTCTAGCCTTTCCTCTCCCCATTAGATCCCTATTTTACCCATTAGGGGTGCTTTTTAAAACAAAGTTAGCACTCAGCTCGATTCCCTTCTCGCATGTGAGTGACCTAATCATTAAAAAGGAAAATGCTACAATCAGGTTGACTAACACACCCAGCTCCCGAAGCCAATGCGCAATTGCCACACATGGCAGAGTAAACAAGCATTGACAGTGAGGTTGTCTATAGCTGTGCCTTGAAGAGCCAGGTGAAATGGGAAAGTTTGCATCTCCCACCAATCAGAACAAGTTCTTCCTTGGAGGTTTTTAAGCAGAGCTTGGACTAGATGACTCTCGGGGTCCCAACTCTAAGATTCTAAGTTTCTTAGTACATAGCATTCACATTAGCAGCTTAACATACAGAAAGTTTCTCTCCCCACCCACATCAGGGTGTGTGTGTGTGTCTTTACCCAATGCACAAGACCTTCTTCCTTTCCCCACCCCTGCAACATGGAACTTCTATTCATGATGCTATCATCTGCGCATGCGCACTCATTTTTGCATGCCCTCTCGTCTGCGCATGGGCAACAGCCATCTTAACTGTACACGCTGTTCTTAAGAATAAAGTGAATTCAGCGTAGGTTTTCTAGTTGCACTGAAGCTAATTTGGGCAAGGGGGAGGGGTTTACAAATCAAGCAACATTTGTCAAGAAGCAACAGGGTCAATATGGATTGTGTCTATGAATGCGGCTTCAGAAACTAGCAGCGAGACCGCAGCTGGATTTCAAGTAAGCGGTTATCTGAATGGACCTAGAATGTCTCAAAATGACTTACAAAATAAGGTAAAGGTACCCCTGATCAGTTGTGGACCACTCTGGGGTTGCACACTCATCTCGCTCTATAGGCTGAGGGAGCTGGTGTTTGTACGCAGACAGCTTCCGGGTCATGTGGCCAGCATGACTAAGCCGCTTCTGGCGAACCAGAGCAGCGCACGGAAACGCTGTTTACCTTCCCGCCAGAGTGGTACCTATTTATCTACTTGCACTTTGATGTGCTTTCAAACTGCTAGGTGGGCAGGAGCAGGGACCAAACAACGGGAGCTCACTTCCAAAATACAGATAACCTAATCAAATGTTACTATTAAAGACATAACCCTATGTCCATCACAGGTGAAGCATCTACCCAATACGGTACAACATAGCACATAAACCCCCCAATTGCATTTGCAATTGTACTAATAAATTGTTATGAGTTTGATGATGCCCGGAATCCCTTCCAATCCTTGGGATTCTGTGTCTGTGTAATGTCCAAGAGCAAGCTTGCCAAAGCAGCCCCTTCGTCTTGGTAATGGCTTTGGCTGGCGAATTAAGCACCACAATTAGCATAAGCAAAGAAGTTGCTCTGTGCCATAGAACAAATCATTGGGCCTCTCCCCACCACCACAGCCAGTGTTGTTTGAGTGAGCTGGAAGCAAGCTGGAGACATAGAAGGATGTTTAGGGTGCCCTGGATTCAAAGCAATCTTATTCTTAAGTAAAATTTGCCAGGGTGCTAATGTCATGAGCCTCTCTATCTTATGCTCAGGTTGCATATATGAGCAAATAAAACCATATGTCCCAAAGGCACCACCATCTCTACTGACCTTCATTCCAAAGATAGCTTAGCTGGTTAGAGTGTGGGGCTGATAACACCAAGGTCACAGGTTTGATTCACACCCCATAAACGACAGCTGTATATTTATGCATTGTATTATTATTTATTTATTAATAATATACCGCCCTATACCCGGAGGTCTCAGAGCAATTCACATAAAGAGATCACAGTATATAAAATAAAAGTTGGTTCCTTCCAACTCTATGATTCCAAGGAAACCCAACCCTGAAACTCCTGGAGTCTCTCACTGCTTGCAGATTGGAGTGGCATGTAACTTTACTTCTCAGGCTTTAAATTGTGGTTGCACACACACACACACACACACACACACACAAACAAACAAACAAACACATCTTCCCATGTAGCTGGCTGGAGGAAGGCAATGCTGGGGGTCCTTTTTTCCTCCCCCTGTTCCTGCAGGACATACATTATTTTTACTTCTCTGCTGCCATTCCTTCAGCAAGACACCAGGCAAAGATTAAATTTACAGTGCCAGACTCCTGCCAAACACCTGTTGTCTACATACCTTCTCTCCAAATCCTCTTAGGGACTGGCCACTTGGAGATCTGCAGGAGCAAGGGGCGGGGGGACACTGTCCCTGAAAGAAAACTGAAGCTCTCACAAATATGACTGAGGTGGGGGTGGGGAAGAGAGAGAAAACAAAACTACTCCCCAGATTTTTGGGGGGTGGGGGGTGGGAACCTGGCTTTTAAGCAAAGCAAACACAGGAAATAATATATTTTTGCTTGTCTCGGGTCACCTAAAGAGCACAACGATTCTCAGCTGTAATGCAAACCCTGCGAGGTGTTTTTTTTAAAACCCTGATTTCCCCGCCCCGCAACTGTTGAGAGCTGCAGCTGCACCTCCTTCGATTCTGACGGTTTTGCAAAAAGTTTGCTGATCGGTGAGAAAACCACAGGAAACCACATTAAAAGCAACTGTTTCTTGAAACCCGAAAGGGACCTTCCAGTGCCAGCGACAGGCTCCTGCGAATTCAAGCAGAGTTAAAACAGAAAGCACACAAGCAAAGCGAAAACACAACACGCGCACCGTTTCTCTTACCATGTTCTTCCTGGACACCATCTTATCCAGCTTTCTGCCTATTCGGATCAGCTCCTCCGCTTGCCCCATGGCTTCTCCTCTCCAAAAAAACACAAACAAACCTATGCCACGCTTCGCTAAGGCGAGCGCCTGAAAATATTTAACGGGGAGTCGTGGGGGAGGGGGGGCAAGAAACGGACCCAGCTGGATCCGGATCTGGTTTTATGACAGTTGTAGTTGTTGGTTTTTGGATGACTTTTGGTGTTTTTTAAGAGGCGGGAACGTACTTGCGGAATAAAGGGAAAGTTTTCGCACTCACTGGAGAAGTTTGACGCGGAAGGAAGGCAAGAGGGCGAAATAACGCAGGCGTGCTGGAGAGGGGAGGGGCCACTCGGTCACTTATAAATGACGGCCAGGGAGTCAAAATAGCACTAGGGGGCTGGGCTAAATATAGGAGCCGAGGATTAAGGGGTGGAAAGATTTCAGGCGGGTGGGTGCGGGGTGGGCTGGATACTGAGGCCGTCTGCAGGTGGCTGGAAGGGCCCGGGGAGCGAGAGGCTTTCTCGGGGCCCTTCCAGGCGCCCTTTCCCGCGGGCGTCCCCGGAGATGGGCGCCGCTTTCAGTCTCCTTTGCAGCTGCAAAAGTTTGTTGGCGGAGGTACTGGCTTCGCCCGCAAAGAGGTGCGTAAAACTGGCCCGCCGAAAAGCCTGTCTCTTTCCCCCCCCCCATGGCGCAAAGGTTCCGGGGTGCTGCAGAAGGAAAGAGGGGGGAGGCGGCCCCCCAATGCAGCATTGCCGCATTTTTTTTTAATCAGCAAAGTTATTGCAATCTAAAAGAGGGATTGGACACACACACACACACACACGAGATCCATTAAGTCCAAGGCTGTCTTCGGGAAAAGTAGGGCACGCAACCACTAACAGTGGTTGCCGGTACATTTCCGTACCCAATTCAAGCTGCCCCCCCCCCAATAAAACCCAACTCTGAAAGTCTGCCTTCTTCCCCACAGAACTTTTTGGGTGTTCAGATCAGCAGAGGGAGCTCTCTTGGTCGTTTCATTGCCCCCAGAAGTTGGTTTGAGTGGAAAGACAGCCGGCGAGAGGGTCTTCTCTGTGGCAGCTCCTAAACTGTGGCACTCCTCCTGTGCATCTGAGGCCTTCATTGCGTTCTTCCTGCTGTGTGCTTTGACACCCGAGATATTGGCCCCCCAGTCAACTAAACACTTGCACTAGCAGGAGCCAGTGCAATGAGACTTTCCCCTCGATTCTTCCCCCCACCCCAGCCCAAAATCATCCCGGGAGAATTGCCAGAGCTGTATGTTGTGGGGCAGATGGTATGTTGTTGTTGTTGTTTAGTCATGTCCAACTCTTCATGACCCCATGGACCAGAGCACGCCAGGCACTTCTGTCTTGCACTGTCTCCCACAGTTTGGTCAAAAGATGGTATATTAATTGCATATTAATTGCATTCATACATAACCATTTCAGTATTTGTATAGGGGTTCTTCCAAGTGGGGCAGATTGTTCCATCTACTTTGCACTGAGGGAGCAATCATCATAGTGTGACACTGAATTCCTCCCATTTGTCAGTGTCTTCCCAATTCCTGTGACTGTCATTTGTTTTAAACAATCTTTAATGCTGTATTTCTGAATTGCTAGGAGCTGCTTTGGGACCTTATGTTGATGAGAGAGTAGTAAATCAAATGAACCCCAACCCCATCTGGGGAAACATGCACTGCCCAGGAAAACTTTCTCCATTGTCCTTTTGACACTAGGTGAATATCTTTTTTTATTGCCCTACATCAGATGTGGGATATGTTGCTGCATTGCAATTCTCATCAGCTCCAGCAAGCGTGCCCAATGAATGGCCAGGGATGATGGGAGCTGTAGTACAGCAACATCTGGAGGGCCAAAAGTTCTCCACTTTCCAGGAACTTTTAACCTTAAGCAGCTTGGAGGCTTACTGCCAGGTCCTCATCCAACTCCCTCCCTCCCTCCTCCTCTCTTACCTACTGCTCCTTTGCTACTGCCCATGAGGACTAGGAGGATGGCTGTGGTTTGTTTGTATTTCACTCCAGATCCTTGTGTAATGAGTTGATATGCAAATATTTGAAATAAATAAAACTATGGTGACGGGAAGCCAACTAGGGCATGAATCACACCAAAGTACTACTAGTAAAAAGAAAAGAAAAAATCATCAATCAGAACTTTTATTAGAAACAACAACAAAAAAGATAGGAACAAAAGACAGTACATTTTCAGATGGCATATTCAACTTACCGTATTTTTCGCTCTATAACACGCAGATTTTTTCTCCTAAAAAGGAAGGGGAAATGTCTGTGCGTGTTATGCAGCGAATGTGTGGTCCCTGGAGCCGAAAAATCAGGCAAAACTCAAACCGCGCTTCAGTGAGAAGGGAAACCTGAGAAGAGGAAGTGGTGGCTTTCCTGCATTCTGCCTCAGGGTCTTACTGCCCACCCTGCTCTGTTTCGTTACTGTGTTTGCTCAAACGGAACAAAGAGCAGGGAAAGCCCCTCCCCTCCAGGCAAGAAGAGAGGAAAGCAGAGCGTCCTTCGTTCTATCCTGTCCCTGCTCCGGAGGGAACAATGTTTGTGAAGGGAAGAGAGATTACAGGTTCGGCTTAAAATTCTGATTTGACTTCCTGCTTTTTGTTTTGGAGACACACAGCATTCAAATATGCTTTCTTCCATTTAAAAGGATGAAATCCTTAAACAGTGTTTTGCCTGTAAATTCATGCGATCTGGAAGATTACAGTGTCTGTACCTCTTAAGGGATGGCAAAGCTTAGGTTTCGCTGCTAAATAGTTCTTAATGCAGTTAAAATGCTTTCTTCTGTCAAGGCAGTTAAAAAAAATACGTATATATCAGGCAGCCGGAAAACATGCAGCTGGGAGGGAGAGGGAGAGAGAGAGAGAGAGAGCACGCTGGCTGGCTTGTGTGGGTGGGTGGGGGGAAACTTTTGCCTTCCTTTCCTCACGTTATAGCCCTCTCCTGCATTCTTAGCCTTCTGTGTTTTTCCTTCCCTCCCCACTTAAAATGTGGTTACAAAGCATGGATCCACATGGATCCTCAGGATCTTTGCATTGGGTCAGCCAAAATTCACCATCAGAGCACATAGCATGTCCATGGCTACAGCCTGCCCCCCAAAAATCACGCACCCACTGTTGCCTGGGGCTGCAATGGTGCAAAAATGTGGTTACAAAGCATGGATCCACAGGGATTCTCAGGATTTTTGCATTGGGTCACCCCAAATTCACCATCAGATCACATGTCTGTGGCCACAGCATGAAGCACAAAAATGATACGTCCACTGTTTCATTCAGAATATTTTTTCCCTTGTTTTCCTCCTCTAAAAACGATGTGCGTGTTATGGTCAGGTGCGTGTTATAGTGCGAAAAATACGGTATCTCCAACAACTTTTTGCCTTTTTTTAATATATAAAAATGCAGTATTTCAGAGAGCAGCAGACTTGTGGTATCAGCCCCATACCCGACGAGGGTTATGTTGGTCCAAGAAAACAATCACAGATCCAAATACCTGTGTCGTACTTTTAAATTCAGTGCAAACAAATTTTGGAGGGGGTAACCGGGTTGAAAATTTCTGCAACAAAACCAAGATAGGTGCCTGGGAAGACACTCTGAGGGAAGCAATCTAGTTTAGAGGTATATGACAGGCCTGTGGTGCACACTCAGGAGGAATGGCTGGAGAGGGCTGCCTCCAGGGTCTGTTGCCAGAGGCCATCACCCCACTCTGCAATGGGACTGGCCCTGCTTTCATTAGTTTGGGAAATTGGGCAGAAATGAAGCACAGTCCTGCCCCCTGCTCCCAGTGCTGAACTCAATTTCAGACAGCTTCAAAGTATTAGCTAACATGTAAACTTCTATACCAGGAGCCTCTAACATGACACCTTATAGGTGCCAGTGTACCCAGTACCTTCCATGGCACCCACAAAAGGGTGCCACATTGCCTCAAAAAATCAACAATGTGAGAGATACTGTTTGCTCTTCCTGTTTCCACTGGCTCAGCCTCTCCCTAGTACAGCAAAGTTATTATGCCATGCCCCTCACGGCAGCCATTTTGTGACCTACGGCACTTTTTACAAAAAGTTCTAAATGTAGCCCACTGACCCAAAGGTTGGCAACCCCTGTACTACACAATAATTACATATTTACAGAGTGATCTTAAAGGGCTGCTGGGCAGCGAGGAATGACTTGGATTGCTATGCCAGTGGCTAGAATCATGAACAAGCACTTTGTACTGCAACGTTTTGTTGCAGCCCCCTTATATCACCCTCTTTTTTTGTCTTTGAGACAATTAGAATCCTATCTTTTAAAGAAGTAGAGGAAGATCTGTGATACTTTGTGCCAGAAGCCAGATTCTGTGCACAGAATACACACATAAATCCAGGTTTGAGAATGAAAATGGGAGTTTCCTGTTTGTCCCATCCAATCACCTCAATGGTTATTCCATTCATGTATTTGGTCAGGAACCCCACAAACTGAAACAGGCCTTAGTTGACCTATTAGTCCTTACCATATTCTGTGTCAGTGAGTTCCACAGGACTGTCGGGCACAAGACAACGAAGCAGAAAGACATGAACACAGCAAACTGCATAATGCCCCTTGTCCCCATGTCCCTTCTTCCTGGAGAATGTATGCTGGGGTTGGCTGAGAGAACAATACTTACTCTGCTGGTAGACTTTCTGCCCAATGTACTAGGCTTTCCTTAAAAGGAACATAAAAGCCTGCCTTGCACTGAGCCAGATAAAAACCAAGCTAGATGGATTGTTTATTATCTGGTAGCAGCTCTCCAGGGTTTAAGGCAGGGAATCTTTCCCATCTGTACCTGGAGATGCCAGGGACGGAGACCTCCTTCTGCATGCAAAGCAGATGTTCTCCCCACCAAGCTACTCATCTACAGCTGGTAGCTGAGCAAAAATAATAAATTCAGCTCTGGTTGTTCTTGGTGCTGAAAAAGCAGCTTAAAACAACTTTGCTTGTTTAAATCATCTTACATCTGGGGCCTGGTTTGATTCCGTTTTGGAACCAGCAAAGCTTTCGCTGGCTGATGCGTCCACATTATTCATGCATCCTTTGCAAAGAAATCTGCAGGGTGCTCACTGCGGAAAAGAACCAGCTGTTTAAAGATTGCCCTGAACTTTTCACACCCTGGGGAAAGGGCCAGAGCATGTATGGTGATATTGCTTCTCTTTAAAACTGGTCAAACCAGATTGGAGCATTTGAAGGTGAGGACGGACGTGGTATTTAAAAGGGCAGTCACAGTGAGTTCTTCACCCATGAGAGCCAAACTGGATTTGCTATTTCCACAGCAGATACACCTATCAGCAAGACAACCCCCACGGGTTCAGACATCTACTCATCTTTCTGATGGGCCATCCACCTCTTAAAACGTCTGAAGTGGTACATTCACAATTATTCTTTTTTTTTTAAGTAACATTTTAAAAACAGTTGCAAACCTAATTGTGGGATTTGGGGAGGGATTTCATTGTCGGGGAGAACTGCCAATTTGGCAACTCCCACAGCTGCTTTCCTTTTTGTTCAAAATTTAACCATTCTGCAGACTTGCAGAATTGGTTTTCTCATAGCTTGGCAGGAGAGAATCAAAAACGGGACAAGGGCACTTTCCAAACTGGCTGAGCAGTTTTAAAAATATTGGGCTGGATCTTATGGCGTACTGCCCTACCAACCTCAGTCTGCTCTCAGCCAGCCCACACTGGCCTGTCGTCTTAACGACAACCAGTCCTGGCTCCCAGCCTCCTCCATAGCCCCTGTACCACTCAGTAGGGAACAGGACAGGGAGAAAACTAGAATTACTTGTCTGCATCTGCCCTTGGCTCTAGGTCCGCCTACTGTTGGCCTCCCTGCCTTCCCAGTGGTGGCTGGTGCCCAAATCCAAACAACAAGAAGTTTGGATTCAGCCTGAAAAGCTTCCAAAGTGAGAGCAGCAGTGGTTTCAAAACATTACTCTACAGAACTCACAGATTCCACAGGAAGTTATCAGGAGCTCCATAATGTAGAAAATCAATTTGTTCTCTGTTGCTCCAAGAGTAGAGCCAAAGAGTGGAAGTCACAAGGAAACAGATTTTGGCTAATAGGAGACATGTACTAATTGCTAATTGACAGAGCTCCCTTCTGACTTAAAACAGTCTATGATTCTGTAATTCTGTGAGTGATAATGGCAGACAGGCTGGTCAATATGGGCCCCAAGACATTTTGCAGCCTGAAGAGCTACAGATACCCTCACTTCCCACTAGCGCCCAACGCTTTGAAAAGCTTTGCTTTGTCAGACATGAGTTCTGCCCTTCATCAATCTTCTTCATTTGGAAGGCAGTGGCTTCCATGAGATGTGGAAAAGCTGTGGCTGTCCTGGCAGAACACAGTCCCTGAAAGGTGAATAGTGGAGGCAAGCCCTGGAGTTTGCACACCATTATCCAACTTCTCCAGCAGCGCACACCTGGTGCTTAACAGATATAGCCACACAGGAAACTGCTTTATGCAAAGTCAGACCACTGGCCCATCTTGCTCAGCACGGTCGACACTGATTGGCAGCAGCGCTCCAGGGCTTTGGGCAGGGGCCTTCTTCATCCCCTCCTGGAGATGCCATCAGGAATCGAACCTGGGACTTTATGAATGAAAAGCAGGTGCTCTACCACTGAGCTGCAGCCCTTCCCCTAAAGGGCACTCTCAACTGACTAGGCCAGCTGGGACCAACCAAGGCTCCCAGAATCGTCTGCACGCAGCAGATGTGAAGATACTCTGCACTGGATGAAGAGATGCAGAAATGGATCCATGAGGGTTGGGTATTTGACCTCTACTGGTCAAATGAATCCTCATGGGGCTGGAGCAGGATGTGCAGCAGCTCTGAAGCCCTGCCAAAGGCCTGGGCTTGGTTTTCCAAGTCTCCAGCATATATGCATTTGCTGCATGTTTTCAGATTTCTCTTGGAAGCTGGGCTCATCCCTCGTGGCTGTCGTAAAAGAAGCCGAGATTGCTACAAAACCAAACACTGCACTAGGAGTCTGCATCCCACCCAAGTGTACATTTGGTCTCGAGCGAGAAAATCAAACGGAGGCAGAGATGACTTGGAGATGGAGCCTCCACAGCCAACGAGAAGATACCTCAGTTGCGTGAGGCCACAAAAAGAAGCCAGAAAAGGTCAACCAAGCAACATCGGCAGAGCTCCCGGTCTTTCTCCTGGTCCTGCTCAACAACAGCAATGAAAACAGTAGCCAAGCCAAAGCCAGTGGCTTCTTCCCAAGGATATGATCAAGGAAGTGATTGCGCAGATGGCATCCTATGGAGAAGAGCAGGCTCAAAGGAGATGGGGCGAGTCCGCCTTAGGTCTGCAAAGCAGCTCAGGCAGACTCCTCTCTGCAGCTGGAACGTGAACAAAATGGTCCCATCAGTCTTGCAACGGGTGGACAAAGCTGGAGGGGAAAACTCCCGTTCTTGTGCCATCGCCTTCAATGAAACCGATCTGTGTGGGGAAAGAAACAAGACGGAGACAGGATCAAAAGAGGTGGGGGAAGGCAGACGAAAGAGAGGCTCTTGCAAATGTACTTTTCATAGCATCTGCCTTATTATCCCCCCCCCCAAAAAAAAACATTCTTAGGTGCAAATCTGCAATGGACCTTCCGCATGACCGCAATCATTTCATTGTTTTTGAGTGTGACTGCGCTCTTTTCCTTCTGTAGAATTGATGGGATATGCCTGCAAAGAGGCTCGCTCTTTCGATTGGCAGAAATAGCAGTGGTGACCACGACAGCCTCCTAATCTCTGCTTAACCAACATGTCCGTAGCAACCATCAGTACTTCCCAGACAAAATTTGAGTAGAGCGGCCAGAGTATCCACTGTTGAGTATGATGAGCACAAGAAGTTTCTGATGTCTGCTGTGGGGAAATGTCTGGAACAGCATTTCTGGAATACCGGGCACACTTATAAAGATGGATTTCACTAGTGGGAGGGAAAAGGGAAGGGGAGAGGTATGACGTAAGGAGCCTCAACACATCACTCGTAAAGAAGGGAAAGAGCGCAATTGTGCAAGGAAATGATTATAGCGATGCAGAAGGTCCATTGCAAATACACACCCGTGTTGGAAAAAACATGCCTTTGATAGTACCGTCCTCCTGCCTTCCTTCCCTCCCTCCCAATCTAGAAGGAACAGTGTTCCCATGGAGGAAGCAGCAACACTCACCCAACTTTGATCATCCTCTTCCCGTGTCACCACAATCACTTCACCCTTGGAGAAAGTCAGCTCCCGAGCCTTGTCCCCCTTGCAGTCAACCAAGGCCATGACTCTCTTCGGCCGTCCCTTAGCCTGCAAAAATGAAAAACGGTAGTCGTCAGTTCTACACAACCCTCTTTCCCTTTTACCACTGAGCCACAGCCCTTCCGTGGTTCTGTGAAGCCTAAACAGAATTGCAAACAGGCACCTCATTGATGAAAGGGTGCAGAGTCACCCACCCGTAGCCACAGGTTACCCAACCCTGCCGAAAGCCTTGTCACCCATTCTGCAAGCCAGCAGGGGGGAACCTGTGACACACACACACATACCCCCCCCCAATGTCACAAGACTACATCATCCCTGATATGCATATTTATTGTGGATTTTTTGGGGGGGGGTTAAGCTGTTTGAATCTTCACACTTAGCCTTAAGGTTCTTAGCAATCTCTGCTGGGCACCCCTTTACCTTATTTACTCGAATCTAATGCTCACCTCTTTGGCCAAATTACACTGCAAAAATCAAGGTGTGCATTAGATTCGATGGCACATTTACTTTCGCCAGCAAATACTTTTATTGGTTTCAAGGTTCTGAAAATTAAGGTGCGCATTAGATTCAATAACACATTAGACTTGAGTAAATACTCAAGTCTATTTACTTATTTATTTAGTAAATAAATTTATTATTTATTTACTAAAGCACATGTTGCCTACTCTTCAGCCAAAAGAAAAAGAAAAAGAGGAAAGGAAAGCCTCCTGCAGAGGCTTTTCAGTATCTGTAATAAGAGAGTTCTTGTCCTAAAGGCTTGCAATTAAGACACAACTCAAAAGGAAAAGGGGTTGGGAGGGAAGAGGGGAAAAGCAAACTCAGGTATTAGGCCTTAGTTACAGATTTCTTCTAACAAGCAGCCGGAATGGAAACAGCTCAAGGAGGAAGAGAAGCCAAAAGTTTCTGGGCTCTCAGCTGATGCAGTCCTGCCTTTCCCTGTGCTATAGCCTGCACATATCACCATAGGAAAGTTCTACACCTCATCCTGCCTTTGAAGCTCACAAGAGGTCCATCATTCTTTCCTACCAGCCATACATGCTCTTCGCCTGAAGCCTCTAGGGGCAACCACAACCTCTTTCCACAACAGCCTGAACTTACTTATCAACGACTCGATTACTGAAATGGATGCACACTGACTATTGCCCCAGATACCAAATGCTGACAGTGGTCACCGATGTTGTGTTCAAGAGGAAATCCCAAACCACGTGGAAAACTTTATTGAAACACAGCATCACCATCTCACAGAACTCACCGGGGCAAACCTTCTTGGCATCGGCACAGGGGGAGGCGTCTGGGCCAGCATCGGAGACTTGCAGGAAGGCAGTTCTTCTGGGCAACCAGAGCTCTGAGGGGAAAGTGGGGTGCCAGGCAGCTTGCCCACAGAGCCACTACTGATCCGCCGATAGGATCGGGTGCTCTCAGAGCTGTAGAGGGAAGAGAAAGTGCATGTAAACAAAGGGTAGCCAAGGAACCTCCTGCATGCCAGGAAAGGGCAGCGCCACAGGCAAAAGTGGGTGGAGCCACAGATGTGACTCTAACCCTTGTACACTCCAGCCAGAAACGCATCTCCCCACCAGGCAAGCAAGGCACATTCCAGCCAGGCAAAAGCACTCAAGGGAGGTGCAGATCAAGGCTGGTAAGGGCTGTGGCCCAGTGCAAGTCCTGAACCCCAGGCCCGAGGTTTTCCAGCCTAGCCCTAGAGCAAGGGTAGCAATACATGCCTGGTGGTCTGCACTCAGTTCAGACCTTAAAATAACATTAGTTTGGCTGAGACAGGACAGAAGGGAGCAAAGGCTCCATCTGCACTACACGTTTAAAGCATCATCATACCACTTTGAACAGCTATGATTTCCTCCAAAGAATGCTGGGAAGCCAGAGTGCTTTAACAATTGATCCCTCTCTCTGCAGAACTCTGGGAAATGCAGCTCTGGGAGAGGAAGAGGGGGTCCCCTAACAACTCTCAGCAACCTTAACAAACTACATTTCCCAGGATTCTTTGGGGGGAAGCCATGACTGCTTAAAGTGGTACGATACCGTTTGAAAAGTATAGTGCAGATGGTGCCAAAATCAGTTTTCCCCAGGCCATTTATGGTAACCATACCTTGGACTAGACCCTTGAAGCCACTGCTAACCTACAAGGTGCTTGGCTTTCAGGCCTTTCCACAACTGACACCTCCTGGTCTCACCTGAACTTGACTGGGTTGGCTTGTCCTTGTTCTGGAGAGGTCCCAGGAGAAGGCTGTAGCGCTGTCGCCTGACTGGGGTCCGATCTTCTGCGCAGGGATCCACTTTCCTTTTCAGAGCAGGTTTCCCAGTAGGCTGTGCCTTTGACTTCTACAGAATTGCGGAAGTTCGACGGCTGCCGGGACGTGCCCCCATCTGGCATTCCAGGAACGCTGGAAGTGGACGAGTGCCGCCCCTCAGGGACATCTGGCGACTGAGGCAAGGACTCTGAGGGGTCTAGAAAGAAATGGGAAACGGATTACTTACTGAAGCAGAAACCGAGATCTCAGAATTACATTGGCTAAGTAAACAGAAGGATGGAGGGTTGTAGTCAATGTTAGCCATACTCAGAGTCATCTATATCCACAGAACTATAATACCTAGCACCTGTAACTGCAGTTCTCAAGATCCTTTAGGGAAAGCCATGTATTTTAAATGTATAGTACAGGTGTAGCTAATGTTAATAGACATGACTAACTTAGGCCCTTTAGTTTTAATGGGTCTATTAGGAGTAAAACCTAGTTGGGTATATCCTGGACACTTTTTTCATACCGGGAAGGAGTGAGCACTAAATAGAAGGTATCAGGCAATGATTTTAGTGCTTAATGGAGATACTGGATACAAGTTCCCAATGGATGCTAAGATCTTTCTACTCAGAGCACATAGGCAGCTGCTTAGGAGTTTGGCGATTACAGGGAGGGCATTACTGACTGCAAAACTGAAGGCAAGAACATCTGCTGGATATGCAAACATCAGAATGTAAGAATCAGAAAGTATGTCTGTACACATAAACTTAACATAATAAATATTTTTGTGAGGGGAAATTATTTAATCACAAGATGGGTTCCATTTTATTCAATTCTCCAGCCAATGTGCCCCAAGAAAATGTCCATGTAGAAGTCTTGGCTATAATCTAAAATATAATGCATACAGACACACATACAGTATGTATAATATACGTAAATATAATACATGGGTTTTACCCACATTCTGAATTTAGATATTGTATAATTTGGGTCTCTCTGTGTGTATACACACTTCATTTCCCAGTTGCAACAGACTTGCTCTTTTTCTACTGGGGCTGTGATGCACACATTTGTGCAAAGCATGTGGTTAGCCTTGTCTCTGTTTGGCTCTACTTACCCAAAGCACTCTGCCCTGGTTTTGTCTTGGAATTCCCTCTGGTGGGATTTTTGACTGGCAGCGGTGGTGGGGTCTCCTCACTCTTTGAGCTTCGCAGGCCAGGCCGTGAGGGGACCAGGATGGTCTCGTAGGTCTTGTTGCTGATGTCTATACCTGTGCAACTCCACCTGTTTGGAGGGAAGAGGGCAGGCTGGCCTGTGGTCGGAGACGATGAAGACCCAAAAGACCGCTGCAGTGGGCTCACCTATCGGAGAAAGCAGCAAAGCTCGGTTTTAATATCCCTATACCTCTTAGCTCACTGTTCCCCAGCCTAGTGCCTCCCAGACTTTGTTGGATTACAACTTCCCTCATCTCTCACCACTGAGCCATACTAGCTGTTGTCTCAAAACATCTGGGGCGCATGACATCAGAGGAAGACTGTACTAGATGCTCATTCCCTTCTTTCACTGCACTCAGGACCAGTTCCTGAAACTAACCCTTCCTCTGAGTCTTAAGGGCCTCTCCATGGCTCAAAAGCACATTCCAATTTGAGGCAGCAAATGGTGTCGAAATTGGTGCACATCTGAAGAGCAAGAGCGAAGACCAAAGGAGTGAACCAGAAGAGCCCTGGCTAAAGACCCATCTACTTCACTTTTCACAGTGGCCAACATGATGCCTCCTGATAACCTACAAGGAGGATACGAAGGCAACAGAGCTCTCCCATTGATACTTCTCAGCTGGTATCGGAGACAGACTACCTCAAACCATGAGGGTGCGTGGCTAGAGAGAAAGTAATGGGGTGAGAGAAATGGGCCAATCTAGACAGGTGGAGGACCTTGCAATGAAGTTACAGCCAAGCTGTGACTGTGGATGCAATGTTTATGAACCTGTTGAAGGCTTCTACCAGCTCCTTCCTTGTACAACCCCAGGCTGGCCATGTAGGTCCAGCCCAAAGAACCCAAGAACAGTCCTCCTGGATCAGACCAGAGGCCCATTAGGTCCAGCATCCTGTTCTCACAGTGGCCAACCAGATGTCTATGGGAAGTCCAAAAGTCGGACATGAGTGCAACAGCGACACTCCAAACTTGTGATTCCCAACAACTGGTATTCAGAAACATTCCGTCTTAGACAATGGAGGTAGAACTTAGCCTGCCCTCCATGAATGCCTGACCATCTTTTAAAACCCTCACAGCATCTTGTGGGAACAAATTTCAGAACCATGTGCCCTCTGGTTTCCCAACCACAGGACGTCATTTACCAGGGCAACCAGAGGGCAAGACATCCTTACAGCAGCTTCAGTTCTTTGGTCTGCAGAGAAATACCTTCAGAGGATTTACACTGCATAGGACAGACTACAAGTTCCATGATCCCTAACCACTGGCCATGTTGACTGGGGCTAGGCTTCCCACTTCTGAAATAGGACAAACACAGTCAGAGCTCCTAACACACAGCACCTTCTCGTCCAGCTCATCTTCACTGTCGTAAGAAAACTCCTGAGGGGTTTCCCAGTCGTAGTCCAAGTGTATCTGGGAAGCCAATTTCCCCGCCTGGGCTTGCTCCAGCTGTAAACAAAGAGGACACAGAGACTTTGTCGTCAGTTTACCAATGAGAAAGACCCTTCTGGTTCCTGCAAGTGCTGTAGTGCTGCAAAACCTAACACGCTTGGGGACACAATGGGGCTTACCCCCCCCCCCAAGGAATCATGCACTGCAATCCTTCCAAATGCAATAATGGGGCTGCTCCTAACAGTGCAAACCATATCTACTCAGAAGTAAGTCCCACCAAGCTCAATGGATTCAACAACCAAGGAAATGTGGAGGCCAGAAACCGTCTTGGCTGTGAGTCCCAGAAGACATGCTCCCTGCAGACCTTTTCCATTTGGCCTGGGAAGGTGGAACCTTGACTGACTCCAGCTACAAAAGCTGAGGCTGCTGAATGGACTCTTGGGCAGGGGTATTGTTGGGGGGGGCATGGTTGCTGTTACTGATTAATTTTATATCTTATAATTTACGTAGAAATTGCTCAATTTGGTTGCATATTTTTTGATGTTTTATTTATTGTTTGTGATCATTCTTGTTACGTTGTGATTATGTATTTTTTTCCTCCATGTTGCACGCCACCTTGAACTAGGGAAAGGTGGCATACAGATTAAATTAAGTAGGCATGCATGTAAATGTTCTTAGGACTGTAGCCATAGCCAGTCAATTCCAGCTCACTAACAAGCACTGTTTGCAGGGTCCCCTCTGCCTGGACCTCAAGGACCCTCCGCAAGCCACTCCCCTCACCAGTCCTTTGCCACACCCTCCTCAAATGCCTTTGCCTGTCTGGAATGTGGCCGTGGGCAGTGATAATGCCCACCTTTCCTTCATGAAGCTCAAGATGACATATCAGATTCTCTCCTTCCTATTTAACTCCCACAGCAACCCCAAGGGGTTGGATAGGGCAGCAAATAGTGCCTGCTGCAAAAATCACCTAGCTAGCTTCATGGCTGAATGAGAAATTGAGCTCTGGCGTCTCAGGTCCATCACTCTAACCATCACACCATGTTGGCTCTCAATGCTTCACAGATGACCCCTAGCTTCACCCCCAACCTACCAAGTCTTCACACTCGGCATGCTTGTACCTCTTCGCCACATCCAGAGGTGTTTCGCCAGCTGCATTTACTGAACAGAGAGAGAAAAACAAAGCAAGGCTGTAGAAGGTGGGGGGGGAAGGGGGCATTTCAATACAGTGGTACCTCGGGTTACATACGCTTTTTGCAATCAAGCAGTGTATAAATTTTGTGAAATAACCAAATCAAGGCTCATTTTGTGCATGCCTGGAGAGAAGCGTGCTTATGTATTTGCGCATCTTAGAGGAAGTCACCTGGGGGACGTATCCTACCTGCATTTGTAGAGGCTTTCCCCTTCAGCAGGAGCTTGATGCAGTTGGGCTGATTGTACTGGGCCCCGTAATGCAGGGCTGTGCTCCCATCTGGAGTGGGCCGGTCCAGATTTCCCCTGAACACAGACAAGACAACAAAGGGCAAAATCCAGCTTTTTTTTAAAAAAAGAAACTGAAAACACAAAGCCTAGTTTGTCAGTTCTCATGGCTGTTGGGGAGATCTCCTTAATCTTCCCCATGCCCATCTCCTCTCTCCAGGCTTTTCAGTCACCCCCTTCCTGTCCTTATTTTAGAAAAGAAGTCTGAATTAGCCAGAAATTCAGAGTCCTAGTGTTGTGTGCAATGCAGCACTAAGCAGATAATTCCGTCGGCACCAGGATTTCTCCTTGTGCAACAGAACAGTCTCTCCCTAAATCTGTTCTAGGGGTTCCCTCCACCCTCCAGAGCAGATTTTGGGGTGGCATAGTGTGTGCACAGGATGGGGGTGGGGGAGGAGAGGAGAGAAAATCCCCTTGCACTAATGCAAAATTTTAGTTGAATTCCACCTATACGTTTTGCAAATGGGACCTGCATCGACAATAACACACTAAACTTAATGAGGGTATAGAGACCACAGCTCAGAGGCTGCATGCAGAAGGACGCAGGTTCAGTCTGCCTCATCTCCATGTAAAACTGGGCAAGACCTTAGCCTTAAACCCTGCAGAACCATTGCCAGTCAGTGTGGACAATACTGAGCTAGAAGAACTAATGATTTGACTCGGGTAAGGCTGCTTTCTGTGGGACGCGGGTGGCGCTATGGGTAAAACCTCAGCGCCTAGGACTTGCCGATCGTATGGTCGGCGGTTCGAATCCCCGCGGCGGGGTGAGCTCCCGTCGTTCGGTCCCAGCTCCTGCCCACCTAGCAGTTCGAAAGCACCCTAAGTGCAAGTAGATAAATAGGTACTGCTTTATAAGCGGGAAGGTAAACGGCGTTTCCGTGTGCTGCGCTGGTGCTGGCTCGCCAGAGCAGCTTCGTCACGCTGGCCACGTGACCCGGAAGTGTCTCTGGGCAGCGCTGGCCCCCGGCCTCTTAAGCGAGATGGGTGCGCAACCCTAGAGTCAGACACGACTGGCCTGTACGGGCAGGGGTACCTTTACCTTTAAGGCTGCTTTCTATGTTCCTCTGAGTTCAGGGTTCTTGCCAGCCATTCCTTCCAAACAGGACACTCCATGTCTCTATCCCCACGCCTCTAGTTTTATATTTCTTTCTAACATTTCTCACATTCTGTGCCCACTGAGGATGCTCAGTTCTTATCAGGCTATTTGGGAGGGCAGGGATCTCCTTAAGTTTTTGTGTCTAAAGATTTTGTACCTTTGGAAAACTCAAGATTCCCTTAAGCAAGCTTGATAACTCCTCCTTGGTCACATCTGCACCATACATTAAAAGCACATGGCTCCTGGAACTGCAGTTGCCTGGCACAAGGTTACAATTCGTGGCACCCTTTATGAACTACACTTCCCAGGATTCTTTGGGGGAAGCCACGTGCTTTAAAAGTGACCCTGATTTCTCAGTGGCCCCATTTCTATCAGCACCCACCAGCTGTGCCCACTATTAGGCAGAGTGATATCACATCCAACTGAACCTGATTGCACAACTATATGTGCAGAATTCTGCCTCCCCGAATACTTCCTTGTCTATAGGTAGTGGAGAGTTCTCCACGCTGAGCCTTACCCGTTCTGTATAATGAAGTCAACCAGGGGGAGGGAGGTCTTGTTGGCATAGCGCACAGCCAGATGCAAAGCCCGCTCACCTGGTTCCTATGAGAAGGGCAAAGAGGCAATACTTTGCAATCCTTTCTGTGCTAGAGCTCTGCTCTGATAGATCAAGTCAGATGAGGTGGGGGAAGGACAAAAACCAACCAACCACAAGTCAAAGGAAATCCTGTGTAAGCTGCCTGGGTGTTGGCTCTGGATCGACATCTACTGTTTGGGCTCCCTGCCTCTACCAACCACTCCTCTATCGGGAAGTTTTTAATGTTTGATGTTTTACTATGTTTTATATATGCTGTGGCCGGGACACGGGTGGCGCTGTGGGTTAAACCACAGAGCCTGGGACTTGCCGATCAGAAGGTCAGTGGTTCAAATCCCCGTGACGGGGTGAGCTCCCGTTGCTCGGTCCCAGCTCCTGCCAACCTAGCAGTTCGAAAGCATGTCAAAGTGCAAGTAAATAAATAGGTACCGCTCCGGCAGGAAGGTAAACGGTGTTTCCGTGCACTGCTCTGGTTTGCCAGAAGCGGCTTAGTCATGCTGGCCACATGACCCGGAAGCTGTACGCCGGCTCCCTCAGCCAATAAAGCGAGATGTGCGCCGCAACCCCAGAGTCGGCCACGACTGGACCATATGGTCAGGGGTCCCTTTACCTTTAACCTTATATATGCTGTAAAGCCAGCCGGAGTGGCTGGGGAAACCAGCCACCACAATGTGGCAGGCCATTATTTATGGGGTCTTGTGATGCCAAAATGCTTCCAGCTAGCTAAGTGATGGCTCACACCTCGTTCCAGTGTTTCCCCTGCGCACACACTCAGTTTTATTCTGCTCACCTGGCCTTCGGGGCTGGCTAGAGGTTTGGACAGGTCGTGGCCCTCTGCAAAGGCCTGAAGCAGAGCCAGGAGATCCCTGCTCCGGATTGCTTCCCAGAGGCGGCAAGGCTCATCCCTGGCCGCTTTGTGAACGTACTTGCGCTCCATGTACTTGGCCATGATGAATTCCTTCCGGGCATTCCTGTGTGGAGGGAAGATGGAGAGGTCTCAAACACAGCACCTGTCGTCCAACCCACTGCAGTGCAGGAAACCCTGCCCACAGCTGTCCCAGGGTGGGCTCGAACCACCAACCTTCTGGTTAACAACCAATGCACTCCCGCCCATTTCAGTTTCTACTCACATATCGCTGCTTGAGGAGGGTTTCGGGCTAACGGGGACTGGCAAAGTGGCCTCCATGACTTCATTAAACTTGGCATTGCCAATGCTGACTGCCAGCTGTAAGAACAAGGAAAGGAACTGGTGTTATGTATTTCCATGAAGCATCGAAGACATACAGGCTTTGGGTGGGTAGGTGGGGGGAGGTCCTGGGCAAAATCTCTCCCTGCCGGGCCCCCTCTTCTGTTTTAAGAGGCCTTCCCAGGCTTCCTGACAATAGTTTGGGAGGATCAGTGGTGCTCTGAGAAGCCATGAGAGCGCACCATTAAAAACACTCCCCACAATGCCCCAGGGAAACAGGGCATTGTGGGAAATGGGAACGTAGGCTAGACCCAACTGTCTGGCCAGGGGGGAAGAAAATGAAAAGGAGGCCCAGGGCAGGCATCAGCAGTGGGTGTTGCCTAAGGATGCCATGTGACAATAATAATACTGTAGGTAGAAGAGCTTCCCATACGTGTCCATTTGATTAGTTGATATGGCAATCCAAGGCAAAAAACCTCCCCTCGCCCTTCTCTACTCCGGACAGCAAGTGAAATCTATTTTGTTTAGGGGGCCGTTAGAGGAGGACAGGGATAAGAGGATTTAGGAAACTCTTTGCTGCTTAACTTTCTGTATTTGTTGCCTCAGACATTTGGGCAGCACCAGTGATGGGATGATTTGCTCTGGCTACATTTCTAGAATAAGTTTATGCATTTTGATTGCTTTCTCTTATCCTTGAAAATCTAAACTACGCTAAAAGAAAATGACGGCATTTTAACCCAATATATATTTTAAGTCCCCACAACCACCCTGAAGGTATTAAAAGGCATAGAGTATAAAAAGGAAAAGGGGTCCCTGATTAATTCTCCACAAGGAGCCTTTCCTTCTTTATTTTAGCGCCAGGGTGGGGAACATACGTTGGACTACAATTCCCATCACCCCTGACTATTGACTATTCTGGCTGGAGTTGATGGGAGCTGAAGTCCAGCAGCTTTAGGGGGGCCACAGGTTCCCTATTCCTATTTTGGGCTATCAAGCTTCTGCCTTTCCCAGCGGCGTCACTTTACAGACAATGTGTCGCTCTTAGGGACACAGCAGCTATTGTCATGCAAGAAGAGATCTAAAGCAGCAAGACTGGGGAAACTATGGCCCTCCAGATGTTGTTGGGACTACAACTCCCATCACCCTTGACCACTGGGCCAGGCTGGCTGGGGATGATGGGAGTTGGGAGTCCAGCAACACCTGGAGGGCCAGAGATCCCCTACCCCTCATCTAAACCAACCCCAAGGGCACTTAGTTGGTTCCTGCTAGATTTAAAATCCGTTTGTAGGCACAAAAATACCTGGTTTTACACCAGATTTAGCTTCCCACTGTTGTGCCAGTGAGTTCAGGATGCCAAAGAACTTGATGCCACCATGGAGGAAGCAACTTTGGCAGTGTCGCTATGAAAGAGAGGAGGAGGCAAAACAGAAGTGGGGAAAGGCGCCCTCTGTTTCCAATGCACAGCCTTTGTGCTTACCAGCAGTTCAGAAGTGCTGAGCACATCCAGGGTCAAAGACTGGATTCGGGAGTAGTGCACCCCCAACTCACGGTGGATCCCTGAACACTCGATGCATGTCAGAATGCCAAGGTTGGTGGAGAGCCACGTGGGATCTGAGAGAGAAGCCAAGTACAGAGATGCTACATGAAAAAGGTGTTTTCTCCCCGCCAAGACTCATTCCTTTCCCACCTTGACATGTAAGCAGGTTACAAAAGGAGAGTGGGTACGAGCTGTTGGAAGGCCCATGGAAGTGAAGGCAACGGCTAAGAGACTCTCTAGCACAACCCTCATCCATTTCAATTGGGCTGACATGGAAATATTCCCATTGGACAAATATAGGCAATACGTTTATTAGTACAAAATGGAAGAGAAGTCATTCATTTATGAGGAATATTATGATTATAAAATTGCATCTTTTTTGTGTACAGTAATACTTGTCGATCTATGATAATAATAAGTATGAACATACTCTAAGAACAAGAATATGTATAATTGTAAGACAAAGTAAGATGTAAAGATATACTTGTGAGTAATAAAGGAAAAACTAATAATAATAATAATGGAAATATTCCCATTGGATCAGAAGGCTTATTGAGACTTGGGCCTTGGATTTTGTAAGAGGTTGCATCAAATCAAATCCTTTATTAAGGCAACCAAATACAGTTGTAGCGAAATAACTTAAGAACTGAACTTCTTAACAAAAATAAAAGCATGACCCACACAGTAAATAAAAACATACAAGTGGCAACCATTTTGTATAGGGGGTCCATTCCTGGCCCCTGCATGTGTTGGTGGAGCGCCCATAAGCCCACCACACCCTCTTCTGGGTCCAAAAGGACCCACATGTCAATTGGACGTGTGCAAAACGGTCGACCCCTGTACATAAAAAACAAAATCTTAGGTTCGAGCATGGACGCATGTCCTTGTCTAAAGCTGAGCAGCCTTTGCTGCGAATTTAGTGGCATTAAACGTTACAGATATGTCTGTACCAAACACCAGATATGTAGTAATATCCATATCACTGCTAAAGATTTCTCTAAATATTTTTGCCTAAGTATTTAGTGCAAGTAGATAAATAGGTACCGCTCCAGCGGGAAGGTAAATGGCGTTTCCATGCACTGCTCTGGTTTCGCCAGAAGCGGCTTAGTCATGCTGGCCACATGACCCGGAAAAACTGTCTGCGGACAAACGCCAGCTCCCTCGGCCAGTAAAGCGAGATGAGCGTCGCAACCCCAGAGTCGTCCGCAACTGGACTTAACTGACAGGGGTCCTTTACCTTTACCTTTCTATTTCACAGTTTACAGTATACCATGTAGCGTGCATGACATCCTCTAGCCAGGGGCTACCACATACACAAAAGCAGCAATCTCTGGAGATTTTTTAAAATCTTCCTTCCAGAAAATTACGACTTCATGGTCTGAAAATGCAGGTGTGCTTTGCAGAGGAAAGGTGGATTTTGCTCAGATAAGCATTCCTCTTCTCCCTGCTGTGATTTTAAGGCGGGGAAAGTACTGGAAAACTCTGGACAAGGCAATGGCATCCACATCCTTTCATGTTGTGTTGCAGCACCCATCCCTGCTGCACCTACCTGGGGCTCCGCAGTCACAGCATTGCCTGTTGCCTGGCATGTTCTTCACCTCGCCAATGATGAGTTTGGTGAGCTCTTGCAGCCCCCCATCTGCCATGCTGCCGGCCGAAGACATGCACCCCCCTGGGTCCCCCTTGAAAGCGTTGCTGAGTGCTTCGTCCTTGCTGTTCTGGAGCACCGACACCCACCTGGTTCGTGGGAAAGAGCAACCATCAGGAACCCATTTAATTTGCAGGCCAGGACAAATGCCTTTCGTGACTGCAGTCACTAAAGAAAGGCTTTTTTATATTTAAATAAATATTTTCATTTCTTTAAACGAGCGCATACTTCAGTAACATTCAAGAATTTAAAAAAAACAACAATACAGGTGAATATGAATTTAACACGGACACACAAAACATAATATTTGGGTTGTTTCATTCATGGAAAAAATAATTGTCGGTGTTGGGAGGTAGTAACATTTCAAAACAGATTTGCTTTATTTATAAATATCAGGATATTGCCCTCCAGATCTTATGATACTATTACCTAAAGATGAAAAGTTACTAGGCATTTGAAATAGCAGACCACTGGGGTCGCCTGTCTCAATATTGTCCACACTGACATCCCACCCGCACTATATATTTAAAGCAGTGGTCCTGCCACTTGCACAGGCTTCCCAAAACGATTCCCAAGAACCGTTGTGTGTTAAGGGTGCTGGGAGCTGTTAGGAGACCCCTGTTCCCATCAGAGAGCTACAATTCCCAGTGTTTCTTGGGCAGAGGGACGGACTCTTAAACCACTCTGGAAACTGTAGCTCCGTGCGGGGAACAGGGGTCTCCTAACAGCTCTCGATACCCTCAACGAACTATCATTCCCAGGATACTTTGGGGGAAACTGACAGGCAGCGGCTCTCCCGGGTTTCAGACCAGGATCTGGAAATGACAGGGGTTGAACATGGTATCTTTTTGCACGCAAGGCAGATTCTCTACCACTGAGCAATGGGCCCTTTGGGAGAGAAAAACCCAAAACAAACCAGGGATGTAGCAGCAGGAACAGAAGTAAGAACATATTTATTTCCCCCTTAGCAAATGCTTGTTCCCCTCACCAATGCTACAAGCAGTTTTCCCCAATCAGAGGGGCAGGAGGCCTAAGGCAGAGAGAACAAGCAGCAAGGGACTTACACAATACATTCGTGCTCATCCTCTGCTTGGAAGTGGTAAGTCCTGTTATCTGTAAGGAGAGGAAACTTGGATGGGTGAAAGAGTAAAGAAGCAGCATGAAACTTCCCTCAGCTTGTAGCATAACAACAACAACAACCAAAGTTCGTGGTCTTTTAAAATGGGAATGGAACTCAGTGGCCATCCAGCTGCTCAGTCCAGGAATCTTGCAATCCCAGCTGCAAAGAACTGTCCCCTCAATGCAGCTGCATGTTCCCAAATGGTAGCGTTAGACTCTTTGGCAGCTGCCTGAATATCAGGGCCAGTTCATACTGCAGCTTAATGCAGACTGCAAATCCTCCTCCAACTACTGCAGCCCCTAATTTCTCCTCCCTAAATATGGAGATTCCCTACACTTCGACAATCCGAATAGGAGATCTATATCAATTGCATAAAGAATCTCTGGATTTATGGAGGAGAAGTTGTGGGACAGCAGTAGCTGTAGGACAATGCTGCTTGGATCAGGGGAAATTAAAGGGGTTTGTGATATTTTGAAACAACAGATTTCCAAGATACAGTTCAACTGTTTGCATTTTCTTATTTATTATGCATCGTTGTATATTGTGGAGTGGGCAATGATATCTATATGAATTACAAGAATGGAAAATGTTTGCAGGTTTAGTATAAACTGTATTTTTTTAAAAAAAGTTACAACCCCCCCCCCCGCAAGTCACTATTTAAAAAATGAACATATTTAAATTTCAGAGTTTCAGATGAAACTGATTTGCAGCTGACCTCTGGGGCAAAGTTCAAATCAACCTGCAGAGCAGCAAGTGTTTTGCTTCAGAAAAACTGCTTGATATTATCAATACTCTTGATACTACCACCCGTAGGTCAATGAGTTGTAAGAGTTAGGTAAATGCCAATAAACTGATGTTAACCATGCTACCATGCCCTCATTCCATGCATGCAACATAGTTGAATCCCACCCGTTGTTGGTTTGGGGCATCCGTCTGCCTCGAGAGAGAGAGAGAGAGAATGGAATGCACCATCATGGGTGAATTAAACCACTATGTTAGCAGCACCAGTGACCTCCCCAGGGCATAAACCTGACAAGATCCCCCTCTCAGCCTAGCTCATGTGGCCCAAAGGAAAGCAGAGCAATAAGTTTGGTACCAGCTTGGCTGCAGGAGCTGCTGGAAGGAGGCCTACAAGGTGCCACCCAACCATCCTAGGGACTCCACTCCAGATTTCTTCTCCCAAAGAGATCCTGCAAGCCAGTGGAGGTTTAGGATCAGAGCTTCCCTTCCCTTAGATGAGCATTCTTCCAAACGTTGACAACCCCCCTTTGATCCTCGCTTTCCTCTACAGCATTGTGCAGAAACTGCCTTCTTGACCGTCGGACCCGCCTTCGGTCTCGCCCGCTCAATCCCACCTGCAGGGTGCATGAAGTATGGCGGTTTAAATTCACTTACGTGTCACAAGGTCAAAGGACTTTTTATCCTCTGGATGAGGCCTCACTTGGCAGGTCAACAGATTTAACTTGACAGGAGGCCGATTTATCTGCAAAAAAGGAAAGGGAAATGGTAGCGGGGTAGCAAGCAGACTCTTCCCTATGGCCTCTATTCACCCCGAGCTCCCTGAGCTTCAGACTGGAAAACTATGGAAGTGGAATGGGCAAGATTCTTCTGTACCTACAATGTACCACATAGGAGTAGAATGGAGGCTATAGGACAGGGGTTGTTGTTGTTTGTTGTTTAGTCGTGTCCGACTCTTCGTGACCCCATGGACCAGAGCACGCCAGGGACTCCTGTCTTCCACCGCCTCCCGCAGTTTGGTCAGGCTCATGTTTGTAGCTTCAAGAACACTATCCAACCATCTCGTCCTCTGTCGCCCCCTTCTCCTTGTGCCCTCCATCTTTCCCAGCATCAGGGTCTTTTCCAGGGAGTCTTCTCTTCTCATGAGGTGGCCAAAGTACTGGAGCCTCAGCTTCAGGATCTGTCCTTCCAGTGAGCACTCAGGGCTGATTTCCTTAAGAATGGATGCGTTTGATCTTCTTGCAGTCCATGGGACTCTCAAGAGTCTCCTCCAGCACCATAATTCAAAAGCATCAATTCTTCGGCGATCAGCCTTCTTTATGGTCCAGCTCTCACTTCCATACATCACTACTGGGAAAACCATGGCTTTAACTATACAGACCTTTGTTAGTAAGGTGATGTCTCTACTTTTTAAGATGTTGTCTAGATCAGTGTTTCCCAACCGGTGTTCCGCGGCACACTAGTGTGCCGCGAGACGTTGCCTGGTGTGCCGTGAGATGTTGCCTGGAGGGAGGCAGGCGAGTCGGGTGGCGAGAGGCGGGGCGGCGGCGGCGAGGAGAGGCCGCCCAGCGCGGGGCTCTCGCCGTCTGCCTGCCTGGCTGCCTGCGTGGCGCTGACGTCACGGGGCTGTAACGTGCCCCACATAGGCACACGCGGGGCGGCGAGCTCCCTCCCTCCCACATCCCATCGCCGCTCGCTTCGGCCGGCCTACTGGGCTGTCACAGGCGGAAGGCCTGCGCATGCGCGAGGTTTTCGCGCCTTTGGGATTCCCTTCACGCCTTCCTCCTCCCGGGTCCTTGAGAGCGCGGGAAGCGGCAGCGCGAGACCGGCGTTGAGCCTGGTAGGTATTGCGCTTGCCAAGGCAGTCATTTGGGAAATGAAAACTTGCAAAGCAAGCAACCAGTTCAATCTGAAGTACGTGTATGCTTAATATCCTGTATCTGAAACCTGTTCTGCCCCCTCCCCCACACTTGGTGCCATTTTCATCTACACATGCAGCAGAGTAAGTTGACCCAGAATAGTACCAATTCAGATGGCAGATGGGAGAATGACAGTGCTGAATGCTTTCCCATGTAGAACAGTCCCTGCAAATAAAAACCTAGCATATTTGGAAGAGGCATGCTAGCCTAACCATTACCTTCTATGCTGTTACTATTTTTTTATTTTTTTTTACATAAGTAAAAAGTGACCTTTCCCCATCTGGCATGGTGGTGTGCCTCGAGATTTTTTTCATGAAACAAGTGTGCCTTTGCCCAAAAAAGGTTGGGAAACACTGGTCTAGATTTGCCATCGCCTTTCTCCCAAGGAGCAGGCGTCTTTTAATTTTGTGACTGCTGTCACCATCTGCAGTGATCATGGAGCCCAAGAAAATAAAATCTCTCACTGCCTCCATTTCTTCCCCTTCTATTTGCCAGGAGGTGATGGGACCAGTGGCCATGATCTTGTTTTTTTTTGATGTTGAGCTCCATGGACAAAGACAACATAGGACAGGGGTAGGCAACCTAAATCCTGGGGGCCGGATGTGGCCTAATCGCCTTCTCAATCCGGCCTGTGGACAGTCTGGGAATCAGTGTATTTTTACATGAGTAGAATGTGTCCTTTTATTTAAAATGCATCTCTGGGTTATTTGTGGGGCCTGCCTGGTGTTTTTACATGAGTAGAATGTGTGCTTTTATTTAAAATGCATCTCTGGGTTATTTGTGGGGCATAGGAATTCATTCCAAAATATAGTCCGGCCCACCACATGGTCTGAGGGATGGTGGACCGGCCCACGGCTGAAAAAGGTTGCTGATCCCTGCTATAGGATTTTCTCTGGCACAGAAAATACCAACTGTAACCACTAGAGGGCACATTCAAACCACAAATTAGACACATATGAAACCTGGTCAAATCACCTTGTGGGTTTAGGGTTTTCTGTTTTTATTTTACCACATCAAAGTGCAATTTACAAAACCAGACCTGACACAAGCAGCAACCCATAACCACTAGGGGGGAAAGTGGTTATGACCACCACAGGAAGGTCTGAGGACCACACAGGCAACAAAAAGAAAACAGTACAAGTTAGGATGCGGAAAGGAATGAAACATGTTGCTGTTGGCTTCCCATCTGTCTTGAGACACAATGGAGTGCGCCTCTGGGGGTGAAGTCAAACTGCTGGATTAGCAGCACCGAAGTGACGTCCCCAAGGTAGAAGCCTAGGCCGTGTACATGGAGATCCTGGGCTGCCCAGACAGCAAGAACCCCCTCTCAGCCTTGCTAATGTGGTCCAAAGGAAGGGAAAGCAGTGTGTTTGGAAACAAATACCTACAAGACAACTGGATGAAAGAGAATGGAGAAAGAGGAGCTGGCCTGGGAACATGGAAAATGAGTTCTGAGATGTGAAGCAAAGACAGGAAAGGGACCTGGGGGCCCAGCCTCCCTGCTAACCACAGGCCCCATCCGAAACCACCTTCAATAGAGTGGCAGGGCAAGCCGAGAGAGGCAAAATTATTTTATTTCATTTATCGTTATTACAGTGGTACCTCGGGTTACATACACTTCAGGTTACATACGCTTCAGTTTACAGACTCCGCTAACCCAGAAATAGTATCTCAGGTTAAGAACTTTGCTTCAGGATGAGAACAGAAATCATGCTCTGGCGGCGAGGCAGCAGCAGGAGGCCTCATTAGCTAAAGTGGGCCGTTCGAGGTTAAGAATGGAGCTCCGGAACGAATTAAGTTCTTAACCCGAGGTACCACTGTATTACACTTACTTCCCTCCATTTTTCCAAAGAGCTGGAGGTGGCGTAGACACTTTCCCGCCCTCTCCCTTTCAGCCTTCTGAGGGAGGAGAGACTGAGAGATAGGGACGGACCCAAAGACTCCCAGTGGGTTTCATATGACTGAGTGTGGATTTGAACCCGGGCTCTCCCAGATTCTAGGGTTACCACTCTGACCTCTTCACCACACAGTGGCTCTTGTGTGGGGATAGCTATTGGAAGGGAGTTAGGGAACCTCCAGCCACAGGTCAAGTCTATCCTGCAAGCCTCCACATTTGGGCTGCCCGTTGGTTTTCCCCAACCACGCACACCTGCCCCACCCCGGACATCGCACATTCGCTAAAGCCTCGAAGGAATACCTTTAAAAAACCTTAATGCACATCAGTGCGAACACACCTGTAGCTTTCAGGCAAGGAGGCAACTCTTTGGGCAAGAATTTCCACCCCCACCTCCCATGAGCCCTACATACCGTGCTGTGCGAAATAGTGAGGCATCCGTACTTCACGCCACACTTCCTCTTCTGCCACACTTTCCGAATCCTGGGACACCGAGAAAGAAAGGCAGCGCAAATGCAGTTTTATATCCCAGATTATCTCCCCTGGAAGTCACAAATGGCATAATGCTAGACTTCCTGTCTTTAGAGGCTTGGCATGCATTTTCTTTTGGCAAAGGATACCACCAAGTTAATGGTTGTATGTGGGGAAGCACTTTTGCACCCTAAATGCTAAATAATTTTATTGCAGTAGGATCACTGCAGGCTTTTAAAGGCCAATCTTCAACAGGTGACAGAAAAAGTCAGCTGGATGAAACATGGGTGTGTGTCCATCCATGAGCATGCAGACACACAGAGAGATTTATTCTCAATTATTCATTCACTTTACATAATTCTAGATTAATTTTTTGGGGAAAGCCCTTGCAAGAGAGCCTATTATAGAAAAATAAACAGAAGCGCAAGACAGCAAAAACTCCATTCAAATAAACATACAGTTGCTTAAAAAAATTCATAGACTAGTAGCATGCTCATATAAAATAAATTTAATGATTAAACCATGCAACTTAAACGCAGCAACACTATAAGTTTTTCAGCTCAGCATGTCAGCTAAAAGCTATGAAAAGAAATGGGGTTTTAAAGGCTCATTTTCAAGCCTGTACTGATGGAGCCAGATGAATCTCCCGCAGGAGGGAGAGCCTAAAAATATGGGGCCATCACTGAAAAGATCCCATCTGCTATGCCCTCCAATCTGATGGAGTCAAGAGCAGAGACTCTGAAGCCAATCTCCAGGTCTTGGCTTATTTATATGGGTGCAGGTGATCCATGAAATACAATTAAGGCTTCAAAGGTCATTTAACAGCACTCCAGCAGCAACAGGCATATATACGCACAGACATGAGTAACCAAGCTTAGCAGGAGAAACTGAACGCTTGAGCTCATTAAAACACTTGTCCATAACTTGATCTAAGGTGGCTGCAACAGGACTAACCACCATACAGAATGGATCCCCAAATGCACGTTTGGTTAAAGGTGGATTCCGGGAAAGACTACAGAGCTATCAAACGCAGGAACAGCTGTTCCTAGACTGTGCCATGTCAAGTTCAAGGCAAAAAACTGCAGGTCTGAGGGTCACTAGCGTCACATAGAAAGCTTTCATCAAGAAGCAGTGACAAGCCAGCATAGCATCGTGGTCAGAGTGTTGGGACTAGGAATAAGGATATCAGGGATCAGATCCCCACTCAGCCGGGAAGCTTCCTGGCTTCGCACCAGCTCAATATGGTTCAGACAAACCATCCCGTATAGCAGGTGGTGTTGACCTTTTGGGGTCCATGGCCTCATGTGCAAACTGGAGAAACTGTTGGGGTCACCAAACACACAGATGCACCACAACAGAATACTTCTTTCAAGCCTAATTCCAAGGGGTGGTGGGGAGAGACCTCTCTAAGTGCACGCAGTACCTGTTGGAGCTCAAGTGAGATGCAAGAACCCTCCCAAAGAGACATTTGCATCGCTTTGGGCCACCACCTTCTGGAGATCCAACACAAAGACAATTGCACGTTCTCACCCATCGCTTTTCTTGTGCAGGAAGCCCGACTTCTCAGTCCCATATTGCTTGTTCCCTTGGTGCTGGTGGATGCTGTAGCCACTGCCGGAGTTCTTCCTGCTAAGGTTTTCCTGAGAGTTGCAAGGGCATGTGAAACATATATAGCGATTCTACACATGGGATACCCCATTGTGAACCTCCTCCTTCCACACACAGATACATAGCCGCTGGCTCAAAATCCCTTTGGGAGGCAATCTATTCTCACAAGCAAGGCTAGCTCAAGGACTTGGGTGGAGCAGTATAGACGCTGCCAATTCTACTAAAGGTGAAAGGTATGTACAGTCATACCTCAGGTTACAGACGCTTCAGGTTGCGTTTTTTCAGGTTGCAGACCGCTGAAACCCGGAAGTACTGGAACAGCTTACTTCCAGGTTTTGGCAGTTGCGCAGAAGCACTAAATCACGCTTTGCGCATGTGCAGAAGTGCCAAATTGCAACCTGCGCGTGCGCAGACGTGGGTTGCGAACGCTGCGGGTCGCAAACGTGCATCCCACACAGATCACATTCGCAACCCGAGCATCCACTGTATAAGCAAGATCAGCCGCATGACCAAAGCGTGATGCAAAAATCTTGTTTCAATACAAAACACCTAGCCAGATTTAAATGAATCAAAACATAAATGATTAACTATGATTTCATGAATCAAGTGATATAAGAGCATAAGAAGAGCCCTTGCTGGATCAGGCCTGTGACCCATCTAGTCCAGCATCCTGTTCTCACAGCAGCCTGTAAGAAGCAGCTCCTGAAAGCAAGATTTGAGTGCGACGGCAGCCTTCCCATTGGCGATTCCCAGCTACTGGTATTCAGAGGAATGCTGCCTCCAATGGTGGAAGTGGAACACAGCTATCGTGGGGAAAGTCATTGTGGCATAGTGGCTAAGAGTGTCGGACTAGGACACAGGAAACCAGGGTTCAAATCCCCACTTGGCAAGGTGACCTCAGGGCAGCCACAACATCTCAGCTTGATCTTGACAAAATTGGAGGAGGAGGAGAATTATGTTTGCCTTAAGGTCTTTTTTGGAGGAAAGGTGGGGAATAAATGTAGTGATCAACAATAGTAGCTACTGATAGCCTTAACCCCCACAAATGTCTCATCTTCTTTTAAAGCCATCCAGCCTCAAATTAAAACAGAATGGGATCTCGAAGGTGTGCACAGCCTCTTTCACATACACATACACGGTGCTCACAGGAAACTCACCCCTTTGTTCTCTAGCTGCAGGATGCCTCGGAGGGAGTCGCGGATGCGAGTGAGCTGCTTGACCTCCTCTTCCTTCACCTGATGAAGCTAGAAAGGGAGGAAGATGCTGAGAGGCGAATCAGGTGCAGGCTGCACAAAACCCGGTCCAGCCCCATCACTAACATTGCAGCAGCCACCTCCGAACAACATTCTTAGGCGTTGTTCTGCTGTTGAGACTTGTTCTATTAATCCCAGGGAGTTAAGGGGGTGCAAAATCAAGAGTGAAGTCTCCCACAGAACAAACCTATCTCACTGTAGGGTTCTACAAACTTTGAGGGGTTGGTGCAAAATATTTCTATTTGACAGAACGTTCTCCAAAAAGGAGGACAGACGGTTTTACCCCTTCTGTCACAATGGACTCCCTCAAACCACAAGCTACAAATCTGGGCTTCGTTTTTTTAAAGATTTCAGTTCTACCCTCAAATGTAACTATTTATGGAGCTTCATAGGCAAAAAACCACACGGGTCTCTTCACAATGGGAACAACAGAAGAGAGGAGGAATATGGATCAGTACAGTTACACATACTTAAATAATTCCTTATGCACACACTCATACAAGCCCCTCTTTAATCTCCACCCACGCCAGCAAGAGGCATTGTCAGAATTCAAGGACATTTTCCAGTCAGGCAAAACACTCAAGGAGGTGCAAACTAGGACCAAAGAGGGGTGTGTGTCCTGGGTAGAGTCTCGGGGGCCAGATAGAGCGGCTTGGGGGGCCAAATTTGGTCCCTGAGCCTGAGATTCCCCACCCTGCAGTAAGCCAGTGCTTTAGTCCAGAGCTGCAGGTGCAGTTAAGAGTCCCTTGAAAATGCTTTAGATGAGAGAGATCCCTTAATGACTTACTGCATGTAAGGACGTTGCTAGCTTCTCAATGAATGGGTACAGGTTCTGAGATGCCTTCCAGCCATCTTGGAAGAAACTGGAAATGTTTCGGTGTTGTTGTTTTCAATCAGCAAAAGAAATGTTTCAAAAAGGGAGGGCGAGAGAGGACATTGTGAAGTTAGCTTGCATTGTCAGAGAGCCACAGCAAAACATGCAGTGATCAGCGGTCACTGAAGAAGCCCCTTCACAGGAAGTGATGCGGGCAACTGGCCAGAAGCTGGACTTCCGGAGGCGCTTACTTGTGCTGTGCATGATAGAACTTGATAAGGCTCTGCAGAAAGTCTGGTCCTTGCTTCATTTGGCTTTCGTTGGCTTTCAGAAGATACTAGATGACAGGGGAAGAAAAGAGGAAAATGCCCGGTCAGCATCTAATGATAACAGATTTTTCAAAATGGTGTTGTTGGTAAAGTTGTCAAAATGGTGTTGTTGGTAAAGTTGCGTGACTACTTTGCTCTCTCCCTTTAGTTGAAATTCCTGCACTGCAGAGGGTTGGACTAGATGACCCCTGAGGTCCCTTTCAATGCTACAATTTTAGGATTAAATGACTTTTGAGGTCCCTTGCAACCCTACAATTCTGTAATTCAATATTGACTGATGCACATTAATATTTTATGTTAGAATTTAAAATTTCATAGTGCTTACAGTATCAAAATGAATCTATTTGGACCGGCATACTGTGTTTTGAACGCTGAGGTGCCAGTTTGCATTCTTGTTGTGTCATCAGCCGCTTTGGGGGGAAAGCAGCATACAAGTTGCATAAGTAAAATATATATATATATTTGAAAGAAAAGTAAAACAGGCGCCTGCTTCCCTAGATATCCTAGACACGCCTCATATCTTTCCCCTCCTGCTATTGCTCCTCTGGCACAGAGCTGCGAGCGAAGGAGTGCTTCCATGTGCTGTTATTTATTTAACAGTGAAGCTATTCAAAGGGATGACTCACTCTCTGGCGGAGCCCCAACCCTTCCACCCAAATCAAGGAGGAAAGAAAAGGGGGGGGGAAACCACACAAAGGAAGAGGGAAGCTGCCACCCGCCCAACACTGGGGAGCTCTTTTAACCCTTCTGGAAAACCCAACCCTTTGCAGCTCACAAGGAGCCAACAGTCAGCCTCCTCTTCCGATTTCTTGCACAGCTGAAAACCCCACATATCAAGATGGCTGAATGCCCCTCGGGAGCCCAAACTCACATTAACCTGTTTCACTGACCTGCAAAGACTGTTGCCTTAAGCAGCTGGGGGTGAGGAAGGTATTTCTTTCCCCCAATAGCTGTACATAACATTACACCAAGGGGCCCCACAGACATAACAGCCGGAAACTACTGCAAGAACATAAGAACCCTGCAGCCCCATCCTGGTTCTTAGGACAGCCAACCAGATGCCATTAAAGGAAGCCACCAAGCAGGACCCTGAGTGCAACAGGAAGGCAAGTCTTGCACTCACAAGCAGGAGTCCGTCATTCTGCAGCGCTCACCATCCTCGCCACGGCAAGTGTCTATTGCTCTTTGGCAAGAGTAACAAGAGGCACCTGGTTTCAGATGGAGGGCTGCATCTTTCCATGGGCAACCTCGCATGCCAATGATTGGCAGCTCCAGAAGCAACCGGTGCTGGCCAGAGACTGTTGGAGGCTGGTTCATCAGGGCAATTAGGGCACTGCCCCACCAACCTCAGTCAGCTGTCAATCAGCCATCACCTGCCTATTTTCTTAGATCACATACACATCATGCGTTTAAAGCATATAAAGGTAAAGGGACCCCTGACCATTAGGTCCAGTTGTGGCCGACTCTGGGGTTGCGGCGCTCATCCTGCTTTATTGGCCAAGGGAGCCGGCGTACAGCTTCCGGGTCATGTGGCGACCAGAGTAGCGCACGGAAACGCCGCTTACCTTCCCACCAGAGTGGTACCTATTTATCTACTTGCACTTTGATGTGCTTTCGAACTGCTAGGTTGGCAGGAGCAGGGACCCAGCAACGGGAGCTCACCCGTCGCGGAGATTCGAACCACCGACCTTCTGATCGGCAAGTCCTAGGCTCTGTGGTTTAACGCACAGCGCCACCCACGTCCCTCATATGGCTCATATTAAAGCATATGGCTTCCCCCAAAGAATCCTGGGAACTATAGTTTTCCCACCACGGAGCTACAATTTCCAGCACCCTTAAACTACAGTTCCTGTGATATATTTTTTTGGGTGGGAGAATATGTGCTTTAAATGGATGGTGTGGTTGTGAGCCTACAGTCCAAAGGGTTGCATTAGCTGTTAGCTTCCCACGGTGCTGCCTTTGCAGAATTCAGCAGGCAGGATGGGAACGTCACTAGAATTAGTTGGCCCTGCTCATCACTGGCTCCATTTCCACTTCCTGTTGGCCGCCCTACCATCTGCCCCACCAAACTCAGTGGTCACTTGCCACCACGGACCAGAGGGGAACAGTGGGCAAAGCAACAGATCGGACTCTCACCTTTGTACAGTAGGCTGTGCAAATGCCAGGGCTTTACACTCACAAACACACTTAACTCAGCCTCCATCTAAGCAAGGAAGGAAGCAAGAAGCCTCACCAAGGATACATATCCAGCAAAAGCACTCAGTGAGAGTACAGAGCGCAGTTGGGGGAATCCCAGCCACATGTGGGCCCAGAGCCAGGGGTGCCACATCCTGGCTTAGAACAAGGGACAGGGAATTATCCCCAATTCCAAGCAGAAAGTTGGGGTTGGCAGTCGGAGCCCCTGATTTCTCCTCCAGCTCTGAAAAGCTGGAGAGGACTGTTTCAGCAGTAAGTTAAATGTGTCCCCTTGCAACTTGGCTACCCAGAAAAGCAGATGTGCTCTTACCTCCTGCTGTAGTAGACAGAAGGGGGTTGTGCCTGGTCTCTCATGGTGTCAAGGACTAAGGCTGCAGCGCATAGTTATGGAACTTGCTCCTGCAGGAGGCAATGACCAAGCCATCAACCAAAGATGGCTTTAAAAGAGGTTTAGACAAATGCATGGAAGAGAGGGCTGCTGATGGCTACTAGTCACAAAGGCTATGATCTGCCTCCACATCTACCTGGTTGTATCCATTCTGCCCACTGATTTCAGTGGGTCTGCTAGAAGCACAACTACCGGTAAGTCTGGATGCCCCTATGAACGCACCTTTTCACGATATCTGCACATATTGCTCTGACAAATGCAAGTCACACACGACAAATGTTGGCAACAGACACAAACAAGTCTTGACGCGTCCGCAGCTGCAGGCCTCGCAAACAACCAGGAAATGTACAGAACTAACCAGCACCGTATTGCTAGGCAAGGCTCCCTTGCGTATTGCAACATGCAAGAAAGACAAGCTCCTTTTGCCAAGTCCAAGTCATTCTTTGGCAGGTCCAGGGCTCAGGTGGCCGGCTTTAAGCATATGCAACAAGTTCCACGGAGCCAGAGAGAATCTCTCAGAATGCAATGGAAAAAATGTTCTCCGGAGACAGCCGAGCATTGCTGCGGAGAGGCTGCCAGAGGTATGTGGTTTCCATAAATTTGTGGATTCCACCGTCCAATCACCAAGTGTTTAATACACCTTTGGGACAATCCAGTGCTGTATGACTGGCTGGGAGAACAGCAGAGTTGCAACAGGCGGGGGTTGGGGAGGGGAGATGTGTAGCGATGAGAAAACATTTCCAGCTGCTTGGATTCCTTCCTACATGGGAGGGGTTGTTATAATTAGCTTTATTGTGTCTCCCCCAGTCCTACCCCTGGCCTTTGGTGAAAGTTAGGCCTCTTCCAAGCATCCTTTCCAGAAAAATGCAACCGGGAAAGGTTTGGGCCTCCAGCCGAGGAGACGTTCTAAGCCCTGATGCCTCCTGAAGTTGCCCCATTTTTCCATCCTAGGCATAGCCAATGTGGTTCTCTCCAGATGTTGTTGGACTCCAACTCCCAACAGCCTCAGCCAACATGGCCAATGCTCAGGGATGGGGGAATATGCTCTTCAACAACATCTGGAGGGCATTACGTTGAGTATTCCCGTTCTATCCTATCAGAGTTCCTTCCATCCTGTTAATTTTTTCCTTATTTGTCCTGGCTTTTCAAAGAGAGTGTCTGGTCTGTGGACCAATCCTGGCCCACCAGGGCATCCATCTTGGCCCATGAGGCCACAGCTTGCATCACTGGGTCACATCAGCTGAAGGGAAGGGGGGTTGGTTTCAATTGTGCTTGGTGCTACTACGCCCGCATGCCCCCCCTTCCAGGGAATGTGCTGGCAAAGCAGACCTTGCCCCCCCACGCTGTGTGTCAATTTTGAGAAGTGGAAGGGACCACCCACCTATCACTCACCTGACATCATCATGATGTCTGAGATGGCCATGCCCACCTCTCAGAGTTGGCCCTGTGGAAGGGGATGGGAGATAAGGATGTGTCCCACCAGGCCAAATGGATTCCCCACCAGTTTTAACACCCCCCCCTTTAAATAACTTTCTTTCCTTTTTCCTGGTTGCATGATTTGGGAAAAAGAAGGTATTTCCTCAGGCTCCAAGGAACAAACTTGTAGGCATGTGTACATGCGTGCATTGTGTGTTTAGGAGGCACACTAAAGTCAGAAAGGAGTTGCTCTCATTTGCTTTCCAGAACAGTAGCTATATTGGTCTCTCTGCGCATTCTGTATGCTCAAGGACTACCTCTCCCCATGTGAACCAACACAAGAACAGGCCTTCTCAGTGGTGGCTCCCTGCTTATGGCACACTCTCCCCCTGGAAGGCAAACCTGGTGCCATCACTATCTATTTTTAGGAGCCAGGCAAAAGCTTTGTGTTCTCCCCTGCCAGGCGTTTGGCCTTTAATTTGCAGGGGTTTTGATATCTGTGGCCTCCTCCAGTGCCTTTTCTATAAATATGAATGTGTTTTTAGCTTTTACTTTGTTTCAGTTTTATGTTGGTTTTAATCTATGTGCTACTTTTTTGTTATGGCTTTGAGTTTTTTCTCATTTTAGAAAGTGACTAGTAAGTGCAACAAATAGCAATATAATAATAACAATACACCAATAGCATCCAGGCCCCAACAGATTACCCCCAAGAGAAGGTGTCCTGTGAAAAAAAAAATGTTTTCTACTCCTGGGTCAAAAGAACAGCCAGAAAGTATCGAATAAGTCTCCCAGAATTTTTAGGTTTGAGCCAAAGGGCCTAAGTAGCTGCTGAGGGCCAGTTAACCCCAAGCACCTATGCAGCTATGCCCACACAGCGCCCAGCCAAGGCTTTGCTGTCAGGGTCAGGCATCCAGTCCTAGGAGGAACAAACACCATCATTTTCAGGGAGTTCCTACCTCACACATCTGAAGCTGGAAAGTGCGGCGCTCCTTCTGCAGGTCTTCGGCGATTTCTGCAGCCGATGGTTCGGCCTGAATGACTCCAGATATCTTGGCTCGCTCCTTCTCCTTTTCCATCTTTGCTCTAGGGGAATGAGGAATGCCAAAGATAATGCAACAGCTACAACTCCCATCAGCCTTGATCACTGGCTGTGCTGACTGGGGTGCTGATGGGAGTTGGAGTCCAACAACATCTGGAGGGACACAGGTTCCCCATCCCCAACCACACCCATGGTTTAGAGACGATGGCGACTGTGTATGAGCCTGTGACAGCCACCAGCCTAGGTGCATTTAAAAGGGTTCCAGACAAATTCATGGAAGATAAGGCTCCTAGGCTCCATGGCTATGTTCTACCTGTACTAGGAGCCAGTATGCCTCCAAATGTCAGATGCTGGGGAGAATACAACTGGGGAGAGCACTGTTGTACCCCAATGCCCTGCTTGTGGGCTTCCCATTGGCGCATCCAGTTTGGCCACTGTGAGAGCAAGATGCTGAACTAGATGGGTCTTTGGCCTGATCCAGCAGGCCTCTTCTTATGTTCTAATACAACTCACAGCCTTTCCTGTTATGGCAAGATGCACTATATATTATATATTAAAGGTAAAGGTAAAGGGATCCCTGACCATTAGGTCCAGTCATGACCGACTCTGGGGTTGCGGTGCTCATCACGCTTTACTGGCCGAGGGAGCCGGCGTACAGCTTCCGGGTCATGTGGCCAGCATGACTAAGCCGCTTCAGGCGAACCAGAGCAGCTCACGGAAATGCTGTTTACCTTCCTGCTGGAGCGGGAATTTATCTACTTGCACTTTTGATGTGCTTTCAAACTGCTAGGTTGGCAGGAGCAGGGACCGAGCAACGGGAGTTCACCCCGTCGCAGGGATCTGAACCACCAACCTTCTGATTGGCAAGTGCTAGGCTCTGTGGTTTAACCCACAGCGCCACCCGCGTCCCATATGTCTAATTACATAATAGTAATTATTTCTAAATTGGCGCCCATACATACAAATTAGAGCATGCAATTCTACACAGGCATGTGTCTTCTAACCCTTTTACCTTGGTGGTGCATAAGTGGTGATCCTACTGCAGTTGCATTCATACAGGCTGCAAGCAAGCAGCTACATGGCAGAAAAATCTGTCATGTGTTAAGTAGGAGTGTTTTTTAAAATTCACCCATGGTATGCAACTGCTGTGGTCCATTTAGTTACCTCTGGGACCAATGCAACAACTAAACACTTTTCTGTTTATTTTATTTGGGTGGGGGGAGATCCCGCAGAAATTTAATGGAGATCAGAGCTAGGAAATATAAAGAGTCAAACTACTGGTCCATTTAGCTCAGTATTACCCATGCAAGGATGGAGAAACCAGCTTTCCAGATGTTGCTAGACTACAACTCCCATCAGCCCCTTGTAGATCTCATCCTCCTCTCCAAGTCAGATCTGGAGGCTTCAGAGGACCTAGAACTGTCTTGCCCAACCTGGTGTGCCCATACAGTCTCACCAGCCCTAGCCAGCAAGGACAATGGTTAATGGGGACAGGTGTTATGGTTCCATAGCATGTGATGGGTCCACAGGTCCACCTCTGATCTATGCTAACAAATAGCAGCTATTCAAGATATCAGAAAACAGCGTTTTCCAGTCCCTCCTGGAGAACACCACGCATTGAATCTGGGGACCTTCCGCTGGCAAGCTACAAGTTCTAGCACAGCCACCAGAATGGTACTGGACAGCACAGCAGCACAAATAAATAAATAAATAGCCGTCTCATTGGCTGACGCTAGCTCTGCCACCTCCCATGCCCTGAACCCACAACAAAACACCTTTGTTTGAGAGGAGATGGGGAAATGAGCCAGAGGCAGCAGGGGTTACTTACACTTTGGTCTCATAATCCTTCCAGGCCTTTTCAATCTGCTTCTTGGAATCCTGCCAAGCAAGAGGGGGGCAGAGTTAGCAGGGGACTCCCCAAGGCGGAGTGGGGGGGAGAGAGAGATGGGAAGAGGGGGCAGCCACCCCCTACCGAGCCACCAAAACTTTTCCTCCTGCCTTTCCTCCATATTGATTACAGCAAGGAGTTGTTAGCTGTTAAGCCGTCTCAACAGAAGCATTCCCCAGGCCAGAGGCTGAAAAATCCGAGTCTTCGCTTCTCTGCACTTCAATTGATTTCTGGACTGTGGGGCCATTTGGCCATGGGACAGAAAGGGCATCTGTTCAGCAGGCCTGGAGCCAGAATTCTGCTATGGGGAGTGGATGTGGGGAGAGTGCTAAGGGATTCTTGTAAGAGCCTAGTAAAACAAAAGTCTGGGTTTGTTTATTTTTTTAGTGCCTCAAGCACCTAAGCATCATTCCCTAACACCAGCGCCTTTTGCATTCATTGCTCGGAACCAAGCTGGTTTCTTACTTGGCAACTGTGCAGAAAACAGTCTGGGTGTTTGTTCATACATACATACATACATAGTCAAGCTCAATTTTTCAAGTGGAGATCCTTGCCAACACAGCACCAGTCATGCAAAAGAGGAAAGTAAAAGCAAGTTTGAGGCTGGACCATTAGGGCAAGTGGAGAACCGCCCCCCAAGTTCAGTCCACCTTCAGTCAGCACCCAACTTCCTGCTTTCTTACAACCAATCCAGAGGGTACTCCAGTTCCCAGAGTTCCCTGTGAAGAGGGATTGGTTGTTAAACCACTCTGGGAATTGCAACTCTAGAAGGAGGAAAGGGATTTTCCCTAACAACTCCCTGCAGCCTTGAGAAACTACAGCTCCCATAATTCTTTGGGGGCAAGCCGTAACCATTTATAAAGTGGCATCAAAGCGCTTCAAATGTATGGTGTGAAAGGTGTGGAGTAGCTAAAGGTACCCCTGCCCATACGGGCCAGTCTTGACAGACTCTAGGGTTGTGCGCCCATCTCACTCAAGAGGCCGGGGGCCAGCGCTGTCCGGAGACACTTCCGGGTCACGTGGCCAGCATGACAAGCTGCATCTGGCAAGCCAGAGCCGCACACAGAACGTCGTTTGCCTTCCCGCTAGTAAGCGGTCCCTATTTATCTACTTGCACCCGGGGGTGCTTTCGAACTGCTAGGTTGGCAGGCGCTGGGACCGAACGACGGGAGCGCACCCCGCCGTGGGGATTCGAACCGCCGACCTTTCGATCGGCAAGCCCTAGGCGCTGAGGCTTTTACCCACAGCGCCACCCGGAATAGCTAGCCTACCTCAATATAGGGAAGGACAAGAGGGGGAAGCTCAAGGGTTCCCTGTGCAGGAGAAGGGAAAAGGCAGGAGTCAAGGAGATTTATGGCGTATCTGCAGTTGCAGCCTCTGGCTTGCTATTTCGACAAACACCCCACGCCTTCAGGGTTGCACCACAGACCAGGACTTGATGACATCACTCTGCTCTGAGCCCAGGTGTCAAAGGAAAAGGCTGGTGAACTGGATCCCAGGGTGTGATGCAAAGGGAAAGGGAGCTCAAGGTGGCATACATGGTTCTTCCCCTCATATAATCTCCACAGCAACCCTGCAAGGTAGGTCAGACTTAGAGGCAGTGACAGGCCACCCGGTGAGCTTTATGGCTGAGTGGAGATTTGCACCCAGGTCTTTCACGTCAGAGTCTAACACACTCCTGGCAAATAGAAGGGGAAGAAATGGAGGCAGTGACAGATTTTACTTTCTTGGGCTCCATGATCACTGCAGATGGTGACAGCAGCCACGAAATTAAAAGACGCCTGCTCCTTGGGAGAAAAGCAATGACAAACCTAGACAGCATCTTAAAAAGCAGAGACATCACCTTGCCAACAAAGGTCCGTATAGTAAAAGCTATGGTTTTCCCAGTAGTGATGTATGGAAGTGAGAGCTGGACCATAAAGAAGGCTGATCGCCGAAGAATTGATGCTTTTGAATTATGGTGCTGGAGAAGACTCTTGAGAGTCCCATGGACTGCAAGAAGATCAAACGCATCCATTCTTAAGGAAATCAGCCCTGAGTGCTCACTGGAAGGGACAGATCCTGAAGCTGAGGCTCCAATACTTTGGCCACATCATGAGAAGAGAAGACTCCCTGGAAAAGACCCTGATGTTGGGAAAGATGGAGGGCACAAGGAGAAGGGGATGACAGGACGAGATGGTTGGATAGTGTTTTCAAAGCTACCAGCATGAGTTTGACCAAACTGCGGGAGGCAGTGGAAGACAGGAGTGCCTGGCGTGCTCTGGTCCATGGGGTCACGAAGAGTCGGACACAACTAAACAACAAGGCAGCTTCCTGTGTCCCATGGCCCAAGCCACAGAGAACCATGGTTCTGTGACCTGGGCAAGGATGCCTTGCAAGGGTGCAATCAGCAAACTGCTAAAATGAGCTTTCATCAAAAGAAAACGAAAAGCAGCTAGAATCTGGTGCTCATGGGTCTATGCCCAAAGGTTGGTAAAATCCCAGAATGGGGTTGAGGAAAGGAAGAGAGGGATGTTGATCCATCCCTCCTCTGCCTGCCTGCTCACTTCCTTGCAATTACTGATGTCCACATTTTTTGAGTGAGTGCTGTGGGTATCATTGGGACATTTCACTTCCTCCTCCTCCTCCTCCCGCCCATCCCTATCGAGAGACAGAAAGCGAGAAAGTGACACTTTCCTGACACTGATCCAGAATATTGTGCTAATATCCTGAGAAATATATTGTATAGGTATGGAGCAATGTAAATGGAATTTAAATATGAATTCAGGAGATCTAGGCTCTCCACAGCTACTGTGGACACCGGCAGCCGGCTCCTCTGCACAGTTATGCAGAAGAAAGTCCCGTCCAGCTCATTTGGTGAATGCTCCCAATAAAATATGCATACGTGTGCAATTCTACTGTACCCTAATGATATACTATTATGAGGTTTAGCTGAATATGCTAAATTTATTACCACTCTTTCATTACATCATAGAAACATTTTCTGATACAGTCTTCTCCTAAAAATTTTTTTAAAAAGCAGCATGCCTGGGTTTTCTGCATAACATAATATCTACTTGCTAGCAGGGGTGGGCTAAGCGGTCCAGTTCAAGGCAGGGCTACTGCAGTGCACCCCAAGTGGGGCTTCCCTTGTACAAAATGCTGCAGCATGATTGCTGGCACGAGCGAGAGTCAGCATATTGCACACCTGTGCTCAAAAATCTGCACTGGCTGCCAATTTGCTATTGGGCTGAGTTCAAGGTGTTACTATTGGTACAAAGCACTTAACAGCTTGGGACCAGATTACTTAAGGGATCGCCTTACCCCATACATGCTGACTCAATTCCTCCAGTCTGCAGAATCTTCTGCAGATTGCACATCTTGCACTTCTGCAAGTGTCGTGCCATGTTCATTCTGTGTTTGAAAGGAGCCGTTCCTTTAGCATGGCAACAACCTATACTTTGGAACTCTCTGCCTGCTAATATTGGGCAAAGATGATCACTGCACAGTTTTAGACACCTGCTGAAAACTTTGGTTACATCTGCTCCTAAATTTGTTTTAGATGTTTGTGGTTTCTTGGTTTTAGATCTTTCTAAACAGTTTTTAAAATGGTTTAAATAAGTCTGTTTCATTTTTGTATTTTTCTTTTTTAATCACAGAATGTTAGCCACCCTAGGATCATTTGTAAATAAGAGGGGCATAAATGCAATATAATAAATCAGTAAATTGCATCCCAATTCGTTTAATTACACAGGCACTACATCATAGGTCTGTTTTGAGCATTTCCTTTTTCTTAAGAATGCAAGAAAAGTCCACATTTAAACTGCACACATTTTGCAGGTGCTTTTTATGTGAGATTTCCATTCTTCGGTGCGTTTGTCAAGACACTGGAACAACAGAACAAGCGATGTGTTGGGACATCAAACCATGGGCCCCAGGCACCTCTGTTTGGACACATCTTCCCCAACTACACCCTTGAACACACATCATGCATACACGCTTTTTAAAGTACACCTACCAGCCGGCTATCTTTAAGTTGCCCTTTCAGCAAGCTGTCCAGAGGAAAGGAGACGATATTGTTCAGATTCTGCACCTGGAAGAGCCACAAATAAAAACATAGGCAGCCATTAGTGTTCAGCTAGGCAGGCCTTTTTACCCAGGTTGGCATTCATTTGCGATGCGTTTTTATTTCAGCTTCTAACACAGATGTAGGAAACAAATCTCATCGAAAAGCTGAAGCAAAAGTTTAATGAAGCTCATGTCATTATTTTTAAACACACACAGCATTTCATTTCATTTTATTGCTATATATGGGTTTTTAGATCAGTTCTGGTTAGAATGCCTCCCAGCTTCCCCCAAGGAATTCAGAGAACTGTATTTGGAAGAAAAACCCAGACTTCTGTGTTGGATTCTGAAGCTGTGCTCAGTGAATGAACATTCCCAGTTTAAGTTCACGAAGTCCTTCATGTCTTAAAAGGAATGGGTGAGGGGTGGGTGGGTGGCATGCTGTTTATAGCCCCATCTCTGCACACTGGCCTTACTGACCCACAGCTGGCAGTCATGCGCAGGGGCCCTGTGCACTTCAAGGTGCATGTGTGTCAAATGGCTCCATGCCACTCCCTTCATGTGCAGAAGTTCTACAAGCGTACATCAGTATGTGCAGGAGGCCTCTTCACGCCAACACCACACATTGCTGGGAGAGCTAAATAACTCCCCACGCCCGACACATTCTCTCAGCGAATGCCCTATATGCAGAGCTACACACATGCAGGCTTATCATCTGATGTGGACCGTATGCGCCCTTTATTGATTTGTTACACATATATACCACTTTTTCCTCAAGGTGGTGTACATAACTCTTCTCCCCACAACAACCCTGTGAGGGAGGTTAGGTTGAGGGATAGTAACTGGCCCAAGGTCACCCAGAGAGCCTCATGGCTGAGCAGGGATTCAAACCCTGGCCTCCCAGGTCCTAGTCCAACACTCCAACTGGTATGCCACACTGACGCTGAAGTTCCAACTGGTGTACAGCAGGGCTGGAGAACCTGCAGCCCTCCAGGTGTCATTGGGAATCCAATCCCCATCAGCCCCAGCCAGCACGGCCACTGGCAAAGCATGATGGGAGTCCAACAATATCCAGAAGGCCACGGCTCCCCATCTCTGTCACAGAGTGTGGTCCGACATGCATATCTAGGCATCCCTTTTAGCCCTCACAGCTAACTGGAGTTGGAGCCTGCAGGGCACAGTGACATCAGAGAAGGTGCACAGTCCCACTCTTCCCTCCAAAGCATGCAGCAAATGTGCCAGAGGTGGGAACATTTTACAGCCTGTGGGTCACATGACCTTCTGTGAGGTCTCCCAGTGTTATGTACTGAAGTTCTCACCCTGGGCCAGCAGGGGGATACTGTAGATAGATTTCACTCAGGTCCACATATGCAAATAAGGGATTGAAAGTGATGTTCAGTGATTGGATAGTTACAGAAAGTGGTTACAGTTGCATTGTAGTGGAGCTCTATATAAGCAGGCTGGCTGAACCCTTCAGTTCAGTTCTGTTCTGGCCTGTGAATAAACAAGAGCTGTTTGAAGAATCGCTGTGTCATCTGATATGTTAACCCACAACTTAACACCTAGAGGCCACATGATAGTGGTGGCTGGGGCCAGAAGCAAAAGCAGGCAGAGCAACGAATCTAAAAAATTACTTTTGTACGCTAGGCTGGTACCTTCACGCCTCTCTGTCCTCCATCCAGGCAAGCAAAAGACATTATCGGAGTCCAAGGGCACATTCCCATGTGGGGCAAAAGATTCCTGCATTGCAGGGGGTTGGACTAAATGACCTTTGGGGTCACCCTTCCAAGCCTAAAATTGTATGGTTCTGTTATTCCAGGCAAGCAAATGCACTCCAGCAGGGTGTGAATCAGGGCTGGTGGGGGACACAGCTTGGGCAGATGGGGTGTGGCTGGGGAACATGTGTGGCACAAGATGGGGCAGGGGGTGAGGACCCCCCCCAAAACCAAAGAGCTTACACCCCCATTTTCCCCCTGCATTGCTGGAATCCTGTCATTAATACTTGTTCTTTTCAGAGATCTTAGCATGTGGGACACAGCATGCTTAACTAGAAATATGCTTTGCCCCTTCTGTGCCACCCCCCAGATTTTTTTCTCCCTGCCAGGTGGGGTTTGTGTCTGGGGTTCCCCACCCCTGCTATCTGCAGAGGCAGGTCCAGAAAGGGACTCTTATTTATTGGACTATGCAAGCCTCACTCCAACTAAGATAAATATTGTTTCCTGCTCTTCTTCCCTCAACCCTCAAGCAGGCCAGATTTGGGATGGCATGCAGAAATGGAAACAGTGGCAAAGTGGGGGGGGGGACTAGAGATGCTAAACCTCCTCCATTTGTCTCACAGCAAGAGAAGCCTCTTCTTGTGCAGGAGACTCCAGCGCAGCCTCAGATGGCTGCAAGGCACAAAAATGTCTGGTCTGCCCACAAGCCACATCTACTCCTCCACTGCCACAAAACCCACAGGCAAGTCAGCCCTTTCTCCCCGCCTTGCAAAAGCCACAACCCACAGCTGGAAAGCGGAAGGGGGGGGGAGTCAGGTGAGAGAATCGCATGGCCAAAACCATAACATGACCAGAGACAAAAGAAACAAGCCTGGTTCAGTTGGAGACCTGACAGCCTACAGGACTACCTCCCGAGCATCCAAAAAGTCAGTCTGTGAGTATTTAGAAAAGGATGCTGTGATTACTAAGTCCCAGCATGGGTTTCTCAAAAGTAAGTCATGCCAGAGCAATCTGATTTCCTTTTTTTGATGGAATTACAAACTCGGTGGATCAGGGAAATGCTGTGGACATAATGTACAGTGGTACCTCTGGATGCGAATGGGATCCGTTCCGGAGCCCCGTTCACATACAGAAGCGAATGCAGCCCGCATCCGCGCGGCTCGCAATTCGCCACTTCTGTGCATGCGCGTGACGTCATTTTGACCGTCTGCGCATGTGCAAGTGGCGGAACCTGGAAGTAACGTGCTCCTTTACTTCCGGGTCACCGCAGAGCACAACCCAAAAATACTTATCCCGAAGCTACTTCAACCCGAGCTATGACTGTATCTTGATTTCAGTAAGGCTTTTGACAAAGTCCCCCATGATATTCTTGCAAGGAAGCTGGTAAAATGTGGGTTGAACGAGGTAACTGTTAGGTGGATTTGTAGCTGGGTGACTGACTGAACCCAGAGAGTACTCATTAATGGTTCCTCGTCATCCTGGAAAAAAGTGACAAGTGGGGTGCCACAGGGTTCTGTCCAGGGCCTGTTTTTGTTTAACATATTTATAAATGACTTGGATGAAGGAATTGAGGGGATGGATGCTCATCAAACTTGCAGATGACACCAAACTGGGTGAGTAGCGAAGGCTGCAGAAGACAGAATCAGAATTCAAAATGACCTTAACAGATTGGAGAACTGGGTGCAAGCTAACAAAATGAATTTCAATAGGGGCAAACATAAGGTTCTGCACTTAGGCAGGAAGAACCAGATGCACAGATATAGGATGGGGGACACCTGGCTTACTAGCAGTACATGTGAAAAGGATCTCAGGGTCTTGGTGGACCACAAGTCAACAGTTTGATGCAGCAGCAAAAAAAAAAAGAAAAAAAGAGGAAAAAAAAAGCTAATGGTATTCTAGGCTGCATCTACAGAAGTATAGTGTCCAGATCAAGGCAAGTAATAGCAACACTCTATTCTGCCTTGGGACGCGGGTGGCGCTGTGGGTTAAACCACAGAGCCCAGGACTTGCTGATCAGAAGGTCGGCGGTTCGAATCCCTGTGACGGGGTGAGCTCCCGTTGCTCGGTCCCTGCTCCTGCCAACCTAGCAGTTTGAGAGCACATCAAAAGTGCAAGTAGATAGGAGTCACCATTTTGACAGGTCCTGTCGAAAGATTCATGATCGGGAGGAGGAAGCTTTGTTTTCATATTGGATTCCTGGTAGAACCTCCTCGAGGACTGAGAAAGAGATGTGGAAAACAGTAAGAAAGGATTGGACAGAATTGTGAACATTATTTGGACAGATTTGTGGACTTTTAAAGCAGCAGCAACAAGAGGATTGGATCCGTTTCGGAACTTGAAATATGGGTACCCACAACCAAAATTTAAAATTAGGCTTTGTAATTCGGTATTTATGTGATTTGATTTGATTGGTCTGTTAATAAATTTTTTTTTTTTAAAGTGCAAGTAGATAAATAGGCATCGCTCTGGCGGGAAGGTAAACGCCATTTCTGTGCGCTGCTCTGGTTCGCCAGAAGCAGCTTTGTCATGCTGGCTACATGACCCGGAAGCTGTCTGCGGACAAACGCCAGCTCCCTCGGCCTATAGAGTGAGATGAGCACGCAACCCCAGAGTCGGTCACAACTGGACCTAATGGTCAGGGGTACCTTTACCTTTACCTTTACCTTTATTCTGCCTTAGCCAGACCACATTTGGAATACTATGTCCAATTCTGGGGACCACAATTTAAGTAGAACATTGATAAGCTGGAATGTGTGCAGAGGAGGTTAACCAAGATGATCAAGGGTCTGGAAACCAAGCCTTATGAGGAGCGCTTGAAGGAGCTGGGTATGTTTTGCCCCTGGAAAAGAGGAGACTGAGAGGAGATATGATAGCCATCTTCAGATATCTTAAGGGCTGTCCCATGGAGGAGGGAGCATGCTTGTTTTCACCTGCTCCGGAGAATAGGACTTGAACCAATGGCTTCAAGTTGCAGGAAAGGAGATTCCAACTAAGTATTTGGAAAACATTTCTGACAGTAAGAGCTGTTCAGCAGTGGAAAAGACTCCCACGAGAAGTCCTTCCTTGGAGGTTTTTAAGCAGAGGTTGGATGGCCATCTGTGAAGGATGCTTTAGCTGAGGTTCCTGCATTGCAGGGAGTTGGAATAGATGACCCTTGGGGTCCCTTTCCAACTCTAAGTTTCTATGATTCTAAGTCTCGGACCAACCTCTCTTGGGAGGGAAGAGGAGGAGAGAAGAAAATAAAGAAAACCCACCCTGCGAGTTTTATGTGGCTGTGCTGAAGAACCTACACATGAAACCAAGTCAGTGCCACCCACTGACATGCTGACTCAGGATAAGCAAAATGGAACCACGGCTGTAGATTGTGATCAAGTACAGATGTGCTACAGGCACAGCTGAAGAAACCACAGCGCAGCTCTGAAGAGCATAGGAATCGGCCTTATACTGCATGCAAATACAGATGCTCCACCACTGAGCTACGGCCCTTCCTGGGCCATTGGGTCCTCAGCTTGTTTCGGTGAACCTTGCAGAACAATATTCCTGGTGAGGCATCCTCCTCCCCTGCCCCCAAGGGTGGGCAGCTAGGTTAGGGAGTGCAGGGCAGGCTCTGTAACCTCCAGGACCTTGCTGCCACTCCCTGACAACCAGCATTTCTGGCTGCCTCAATTCTGCTTCATGGTAGGACCAGTCCTGTTCAAAGCACTTTACAGAAGGCAACAGCCACTCCTGTGACATCACCGTTTTGCATCAGCATGCTGGGTCTGCCTAAGGCTGGAGTAGTCATAGGATGGCCACTTATGCAACAACAAAATTTGAATATGGATGGGAACACAGGAAGTTGGCTTATACCTCGACAGACTGTTGGGTCCTTCTATCAGCGTTTCTCAAACTTGGGTCCCAGTTGTTGTTTGGGCTACAACTCCCATCATCCCTGACCACTGGTCCTGCTAGCTAGGGATGGTGGGAGTTGTAGTCCAACAACAGCTGGGGACCCACGTTTGAGGAAACACTGACTCAATACAAAGCCTACAGTGGATGGTAGCACCTCTTCAGGGTTTCAGGCAGGTGACATTCCCAGTCCTACCTCCACGGCCACAGGAAGAAAACGCTTCTGAATACCACTGCAGAAAACTGCAAGATTGGAGGGGTTCTGTTGCACTCAGGTCCTGCTGTTTCCTATAGATATCTGGTTGGTCATGGTGATAACAGGACACCAGGCCAGATGTCCTGAGCTGGAGAGGCCGGGGATTGAACCTGGGACATTCTGCATGTAAGGGAGATGCTCTGTCATTGAGCTACAGGCCTAGGTGTGCCAATTTAGAAATAACTACTATAATCTAAATAGAAATACAATCCATCACACCATAAGACTTTGAGCATATGACCTGTGTGCTGTCCAGCACAGCAGCTCAAGTCTGCTGTCCAGGATCTAACTACAGAAGGGTGACTTCAAGGCCCCTCCTGCTCTCCTTTTCTTAGAGTTCTTGATATTCAAACCAAGATGTCAGGGACTGGCTGGATACTGAGGAGTGCTGGCTGGCTATTGAGGAGTGGGCACTGGAAGAAGCGGAGGTTGCAGACTGACTTGGAAGAAGGTAACTGGGGGAACCTGTAACAGCTGGGAGACGAGAGTCAGAAGTGCAGGATTGGAGATTGAAGAACAAGAGCAGGAGGAGGGAGAGATCGGTCAAGCTGGTGTAGACACAAGGGCTTCCACACCTTGTCCTCCTCCTCCTCCTCCTCCTGATCCCACCTCTCCTGCTCCACTGTTTCCCAGGACCAGAAGAAGACTGAAACAGGAGGAGCAAAAGGTCACATGCTGATGGAGTCTTGCGCCTGCTCGCACGCAGCTTGGGTGGAGGAGATACATAAGCTGAGGTCGGTGGGTGGGCCTCTCTGTTGCGGCAACTGCATCATCAGGTGCACACCTAGGGGTGGCTGAGAGGCGTAGGATTGATGGACGTGCCTTTTCCTAACTTCTAAGTGTCCTTTTGACAATAAAGAGTTAATTCTTGACATTCCGTGCCTGTCACACTGTGACACAAGCTTGGGACTGGACAGTTCTTCAAACCTACAGGGCTGTCCTCTCTAAAGCAGGACACAGGTTCACCCCTAGGTAGACAACATGGTGCCCTTTAAGCACTGCTGGAGTCCCATCAACTCCGGCCAGCATAGTGAAAAATAACAACATATCCTAAGAGACTGCTGGATCAGCCACTGCTCTGAAGTCTCACTCACCAGCCCCACTCACCTCACAGAGTGTTTGTTGTGGGGGAGGAAGGGAAAGGAGAATGTTAGCCGCTTTGAGACTCCTTCGGGCAGTGATAAAGCGGGATATCAAATCCAAACTCCTCTTCTTCTTCTCTCAAGGTGGTCAACCAGATTGCCTATGGGAAGCCTGCAAGCAGGACTGGAGCACAACAGCACTTTCCCCCTCCTGTGGTTTCCAGCAATGGGCATTCAGAAGCATTACTGCCTCCAACAATGGATGCAGACCACAACCATCAGGGTTAGTAGCTGGAAGGTCAGGGAGCTGTTTCCCAGCAACATCTGGAGGGCATCATATTAGCTACCCTAGTCTAAAGTGGCACATACCCAAGCATTGGTTTCATGTGCTCTTCCGCTAGGGCCATATCAAACAGGGGTTTCCCCCCCCCCTTTCCTTCCTTCCACATTTTCCCTTCCACATCGTTATTTTTTCTTTCTTTCCTTCCACATTTGCAAGGGGGCTGTAATATGAGACATGGGGCTTCTGTTTAAACCAAACATACCCAGCCAGAGCCTGCTCTAGCACACAGAACCCACAGCACAGTTCCTTCAGTCCCCAGCCATAAACAACATAGCCGCTGCCCAGAGGTTTCCGATTTACGTTAAAGGGGGAAGCTGGGGGGGGGGCAGGAAGAGACCACCATTAGTGGCAACAAGCAGCAAAGTCACACAGATGCAGCCCACGTTCCTTCTCCCTCTGCCCAACCAGTACAAATGCAAACACTAATGGTTCTTTTTAGGGACAGGTGAGAAAAGAGTTGAGTTTGCATTTGAAGGCAAACTTTTTGAACAATTTGCACACCAGAACACAGCCACCCTCCAAAGGTCGTAGTACTTCGAGTATCACCAACCCGGTGATATGTACAAAAATGCATATACTAGGGTAAGCACACACATATAAATGCCTACATTAGTGAAAATAATGGAATAAAATGCTTTCCTTAGGGGAAATAGCTTTGCAAAACTGTGTATGTTGGGCAAAACTGCATATAAAAATGTATTTTGTATGATGAATTCTCACTAAGATGCTGATGAATCTTCATGAGGACACACACACACATATATATATGCAAACTGATGTGGAAATGGAGAACTGAACTGTAGATTGTAAAAATAAACTACTGAAACAGAAATTGACAGATTCACCCACTCCTAGTTCTTTCAAGAGTTCCCACCATATTCATAAAAATCCTTCCCTCAAACAGACCACCTCGTAGCAGCAGCCCGCTTTGTGAAAATGGGCCCCAGCATCAACAGAGGACACATAGCTGGAAACACAGCAGTAAGGAAAACACGCCTTACGGAAATGCAGTGGTTGAAATATAGGAACCTATTGCCCCAAACAAGACCGGCACCTTCACAATTGCATCACCTTCCAGAGAGGGAGTTATCTGTGTTGCTTCGGCTGAAACAGATTCCCTTAAAGTCCTGAAGAACGTAATTGCATTAATTATGGCGTAAGCTTTTGCAGGTCTGAATCCACCTCATCAGATGCGCATGAGAAAGAGGACTGTAAGCCTCCAACATTAATGTCAGAATAATAAAGATCTTTTTAAAGGGCTGCAGAAAAGACTCTAGCCACATCCGCACTGTACATTTAAAGCAATGTGGTACCACTTTAAAAAGTCATGGTTTCCTCCCACCATGGTGCTTTAAATGTATGCTGCAAATGTGGCCCTAGTGAGCAACAGTAACCACTGGACTGGGGCTTATGGGAGTTGTAGGGGTTAAGGAATTTTGGCATATTCATTTCTTTTAAATAAGCAGGTCCCATATTAAAAGTGCCGAGTCTGGTTGAATATCCCCTCCCTCTAAATAGGTGGTGTACACATTTGGATTGAGAAGAAGAATGTAGTGGAGATATTTGACGGAAAAGAAAAGCAGACCTAATGCCGCCCCTTACCAGATTTTTGAAAAGTGCCGTCACTTCCCTGGTGAAGACAGCCAGATTCAAGAATCCCGTGGAAAGCTCATGATTGTTCTGTGAAAGGTGGTTGTTGCCAAAGTTCTCCAGAGTTTCGCTGTACTGCTCCTCGTTCTCCACATGTGCTAAGGAAGAAGACACAAAAATCAGGAGAATGGAACGTTTCTGCCGGATCCAGATACCCACAGAAGTCAGGGAAGAAGCAAAGCAGTGTGTGGAATTTGAACATGAAGACAGCCCTGCAGGATCAGACAAGAGCTTTATACTGAACCACATTCACACCATACATTTAAAGCGCTATGACACCGCTTTAAGCAGTCGTGGCTTCTGCTGTCATTTGTTAAGGGAGCTGAGAGCTGCCATCACGGGAGCTACTAGTCCCAGAGTAGTTTACCATCAATCTCTTTTGCTAGGGAACACCGGGAAATGTAATTCAGTTAGGAAAATAAGTCTCAGCGCCCTTAAACAAACCACAGTTCCCAGAATTCACCGGGGGGTGGGGGAAGCAACAACTATTTAAAGTGCTGCCAGTGTGTTTTAGTCGTAAGGTATGAATTTGTTCTAGCTCCTTGTCTTGTTTCTCACCATGGCAAAGCGGGCACCTCTGGGAAGCCAACAAGCCGGGCGTGAGGGCAAGAGAGCTCATGTTCCCCAACAACGAATAGTTGGAGGCATGCTCCCTCTGATCCTGGAGGTAATATATATCCATCATGACCAGCACCCATTAATAGCCCAGCAGGAACACCAACTGGCAGGCATTATGTAGGCATGTGCTGAATTGTGCAAAGCAATTTTGTGGCAGTGGTGCTGGGTGTGCACCAGCAGCTGTGAGGAGAGGGCTGCGTGGTGCATACTTGAGCCTCTTCGACTGAGTCTCCAGCAACATCCGACACCCCCACTGCAGTTTCCTTCCTTCCTTCCTTCCTTCCTTCCTTCCTTCCTTCCTTCCTTCCTTCCTTCCATTGCATTTACAGTGGATGCTTGGGTTGCGAACGTGATCTGTGCGGGATGCACGTTTGCAATCTCCAGCGTTCACAACCAGTGCCTGCGCATGCACGGGTTGCGATTCGGCACTTCTGCACATGTGCTCGTTCCGGTACTTCTGGGTTTCGGCGGCCCGCAACCCAAAAAAACGCAACCTGAAGCGTCTGTAACCCAAGGTATGACTGTACAGCAGAACCTCTACGGTCACCTCTACTTGGGCCCAATCCAAGTTGCGACAGCGGCAAACCCATAAGTAAATACCGGGTTTGCCATGATTCACGCACGTGCAGAAGCGGCTTCTGTCGTTTGCGCACACGCAGAAGCACACTGCCGCCGAATGCACCTGCGCACAACGGCACTTCTACCAGCGACCCGGATCGGCTTACGGACGGACCTCCAGAACTGATTAGGTCCATAAGTAGAGGTTCCACTGTATATCACACCTTTCCTTGAAGTAGCTCAAGGTGGCATACACCTCCCCATTTTACCTTCACAACAAATCAAGATGAGAGGCTGTGACTGGCCCAAGATTATCCAGCAAGCTTTATTTAGAATGAGGCCTCAGGCAAACAACAGCCCTGAGCACTTCCAGTCTGCTTACATCAGTAAAGAACACGGCCCAACACTGTGGTCTGTGAGCTCCTGGGTCCTAGAATATTAGCAATGAGAGAAACCTGAATTGCTTCCAACACCATCCTTTAGGCCTCTTGAATGAATCTGAGGTGCATGTGTGGCATATACAGAGACTGGGGGCTACCTTTGAAGATGACTCAGAAACTACAACTAATCCAGAATGCAGCAGCTAGACTGATGACTGGGAGCGGCCGCCAGGACCATATAACACCAGTCCTAAAGGATCTACATTGGCTCCCACTACGTTTCTGAGCATAATTCAAAGTGTTGGTACTGATCTTTAAAGCCCTACATAGCTTTGGGCCAGTATTCCTGAAGGAGCTTCTCCACCCACATCCTTCAGCCCGGACACTGAGATCTAGCTCCAAGGGTCTTCTGCCGGTTCCCTCACTGCAAGAAGTGAAGTTACAGGGAACCAGGCAGAGGGCCTTTTCAGTAGTAACGCCTGCCCTGTGGAACGCCTTCCCATCAGATGTCAAGGAAATAAACAACTATCTGACCTTTAGAAGACATCTGAAGGCAGCCCTGTATAGGGAGGTTTTTAATGTTTGAGGTTTTGGTGTGTTTTAAGCATTTTGTTGAGAGCCTCTCAGAGTGGCTGGGGCAACCCAGTCAGATGGGCGGCATATATATCATCATCATCATCGGCTAGGGGCCCCCCTTCACCAACCTGCTGCCCTCCAGATGTTGTTGAACAACAACTCCCATCAGCCCCAGCCAGCTTGGGGAGGATGGGAGTTGTAGTCTAGCAACATCTGGAGGGCCGCAGGTTCCAAATCCTTCACTTGTGATGTTCGAGGGCAAGAATGCTCAGTGCAGATTTTGTTATGCCTTCGCATTCAAAGAGATCCTAATCCAGAAGTCTTGTGTTGCAATTTATATATTTTGAAAGCGGATTGCACAAGGCTGACATCAGCTAAACCATGCACCAAGGCAAATTGCGTTCCTGCTGCCAGCGCAACCTCATAAAATCTCCAAATATGTTTAGCTGCGAAGGAGGCTGTCACAGAATGTTTACAAACAGCACAGCTTCTGTGGGGAAAGCAAAAGGTCAGTCTGGTCATGGGGCAGCTGGGAGAGGGCAAATCCAGGTCCCAATTCATATAACCCACCAAAGAGAGTCATCTTGTAGAGTCACCGGACTTTGCGGGTGACGGTTTGTGAACTAGACCAGGGTGAAATGCTAAGAAAGAGGTTAAAGGTAGTTTCTCCAAAATCCAGAAGAAGAGAAGGGCTGCAACAACTTGGTGGAAAAGCTTAAATCAGAAAACCAAGAAGCTGGAGAAGCAGGGTCTGGGAAATAGTCCAGCATTAAAACTCTGTAGAAAGCCACTGTCTATTAGCATGAACTGCAGGGACGCGGGTGGCGCTGTGGGTAAAAGCCTCAGCGCCTAGGGCTTGCCGATCGAAAGATCGGCGGTTCGAATCCCCGCAGCGGGGTGCGCTCCCGTTGCTCGGTCCCAGCGCCTGCCAACCTAGCAGTTCGAAAGCACCATCGGGTGCAAGTAGATAAATAGGGACCGCTTACTGGCGGGAAGGTAAACGGCGTTTCCGTGTGTGGCTCTGGCTCGCCAGAGCAGCGATGTCACGCTGGCCACGTGACCCGGAAGTGTCTCCGGACAGCGCTGGCCCCCGGCCTCTAGAGTGAGATGGGCGCACAACCCCAGAGTCTGTCAAGACTGGCCCGTATGGGGCAGGGGTACCTTTACCTTTATTAGCATGAACAATACCGAGCGAGATGGACCAATGGTCTGGCTGTGTAAGGCAGCTTCCCAAGTTCCCCGATTGTTTGAAGTACAACAGCAGGGATCATTTGGTTAGTAGCCTAAGGGTTCATTCTAATGACAGTTAAGACAGCCAATCAAGAGGGGGGTGGTAGTGGAAGTGTTTGCCTAGCACCCAATCAGAATGGCATGATCCTTGTGCCCTGATTGGCTGTGGGAGTTCTGAGGGCGCCTTTCCTCAGCATGGACTGCTGAATATCTTTCTGCTTTGAAGGAGGCCTGTTCTAAAAGACCAAAAAACAGCAACCCTGATTATTTATCAAGTTATGCACAAGTTATGCGCTGCTTTTGTTCAGTGTGCCCAGTAAAGTTCATTTTCTCTCTCGACTGGGTTATTCAAATGGCACTGCTCACACTGTACAGGGGAGTCAGATTGCACTTTGTACACACCTGGCAGAACCTACCCGTTCCCAAGTTGTCCCCCCACTCTTCCCCACCCCTTGGCGGCCACACCAGCACGCAGAGAGCATTAACTTACTGAGCCCAGAAGCATGAATAGCTTTCACATATTTCCTGATCCGCTGGAGAATGGCTTGGTCTCCATCCAGGCTCTGCGAGGCAAAAGGGAGAGAGAAAAAGACACAAAGGTTTGTCAGAGTTGCTGGGCAGTGCCAAGCCGGGAGGCGGGAAGAGGGAATTGCCAGGCCACACAAAGTCTCTTTGAAGCTCCGGCCTGTGGCAGATGTGCAAGGCAGCTGCCAGGCTACCCAAATCTGGAGTGGAGAGATCCCAAGCATGGGGAGGGAGTGGGTGGGCTGTGCAGAGATTGAGAGTGAAAGAGAGAAAATGCATTGACTGAACAGCGCAGAAAAGGAGGTGTGGCTTCCAGCCAGTTCCTCCCTGGCTGCAACAAGGGCATAGCTCTGTGGCAGAGAACACGTTTTGCATGCAGAAGATCACAGGCGCTTCTAGTTTGAAAGGATCAAAGGTATCAAATGATGGGGAAGACCTCAGCACAAGACATTCAGGCAGCCCCTGGCGCAACCTGAAACCTGCCTAAGCACCTAGCAGGGCCTCATTTGAATGTCTGCTGCCTTCTCTTGCATTCTGCCTTGAGACTGGAATGTGGTCTGTCGAGGAGCTCAGCTCAGCAGTAGAGCAACGGTTTTGCTTGCAAAAGGTCCCAGGTTCAATCCCGGCATCTCCAGGTAGGGTCTGAAAGTCTAGAGAGACACTGCCAGCCAGTATAGAGAGCACCACTCAAGTGTCTACACTGCAGACAAGCTAAATGGGCCAGTGGTCTGACTTGGTATACGGGAGCTTCTGATGTGTCTGTGGGACGGGTTATTGATGGCTAGGAGAGGACATACTAAATACAATTTATCTCTCCAGTCTCCAACACGTGGGAGTTAGGCAGAGTATTAAAACCCCATCCTTGGCAACGAAAATTGAAGCTTTGGGATGAGGTTGCGAAGCCTTTCCTTTTTTGAGCAGGTAGGTAGCCGTGTTGGTCTGCTGTAGTCGAAACAAAAGAAAAAAATTCCTTCCAGTAGCACCTCTAAGTTTGTTATTGGTATGAGCTTTCGTGTGCATGCACACTTCTTCAGATAAGTATCTGGGTATTAGTTGGTCTCTGAGGTGCTACTGGAAGGAATTTTTATTTCTTTTTTGAGCAATTCCACCTAATGACAGTTATCTGGCTTCCTCTTGGTTTGCCTCTTAATAAAAGAACCAGGCAACAACCCATTAAGTATAGCATCCACTTATTTAACAGTCGTGCACTGGATCATAGCAAAGGCAGCAGCAAAACTATGCAAGCAAGGGTAACAACTTGAACAAAACATGGGGGGAAGGGGCAGGTAAGCACCAGCCTGCGTAACTGATCACAAGATGCAGCACACACTCACCATCTGAATGGCAATGCCCATCAAGTTTGGAGGGACCCAGCCTCCTCACATATTTGTGAGCACACGGAACGCTGTTTACCTTCCCGCTAGTAAGCGGTCCCTATTTATCTACTTGCACCCGGGAGTGCTTTCGAACTGCTAGGTTGGCAGGCGCTGGGACCAAGCAACGGGAGCGCAACCCGCCGCGGGGATTCGAACCGCCGACCTTTCGATTGGCAAGCCCTAGGCGCTGAGGCTTTTACCCACAGTGCCACCCACATCAAAAGACATAGCCGATTACAAAAATGGAGCCTGCGCTCAGGGAGAGCGCAGACAGACATCCGTTTGAATCAAAGACATGGTGAGGAAGGGTGGTGCCCATCACTGCCTCCCCTCCCATGAGAGCAAGTTCCATAGTTTAACTATGCACTACGTGAAGAAGCGCCTTCTTTTATCTGCCCCGAATCTTCCAACATTCAGCTTCATTGCATGTCCCCAGGGTCTCTAGAGGGAGAACAACTTTTCTCTCCACTTTCTCCATGTCATACATAATTTTAGAAACTTCGGTCATGTCACCTCTTGCTCACTTTTTCCTCTCAGCTAAAAAGTTCAAAGCCCTGCACTCCACCCCTTGATCATTTTAGTTGCCCTATCAGAATATCATCTACAGTATCCTTTTTGCCTAGCAGGAGGCAGGAGAATCATAGCCCTCTCTGGAATTCACAGGCATGCTGCCTGCCTCTAATCCTGGCTGGCAGCAAACAGCCATCAAGACTAGGAACCTTTAATAGCAGGAAGGGATTTCCTTTCTGGAGGCCAAATACTCCCCCTTCAGTCATTTGTCCATGGTTACAGTATCCCTGAAGGTGCCTCTCCATCCAGGGGTATAATTTCAGGTATCAGGGAGTGAGGGGGAGAAATGGTTCGCAGTAAAGTTTAAAAGGCCTGTTCGAGGAGATATTCAAGACTTAAATTGCAACACCAGAGAAACTACAGTGGGATTTAAGAGCATCCATTCCAGTGACATTTTATACTGCCCAATAAAATGATAGCCAAGGTCATCTAAAGAAGGTCAGTCAATTGTATTTTTTAAAGAAAGCAAAGCGTTTTGTCCTTTTGTCGCGCATGCTATTACTTCCTAGTGCATAAGTATTTCACTGTTTAGAAACCAACCGTCAGTGGTGCAATTCAGATGTCACAATCTTTCCTGGTTCGGAGAAAATGGGAAACTATGGTTAACTGAAGACTGCTTGGTTTGTTTCACCTCACTCATGGAAAAGGAGAAGTCAAGCAGCTAGCCACTGAGGCTAAAAAGGTTGGCAGAGATCTCTGCTGAATGGTGTCCTTACAAATGCACACAGAAGGTATCTGAATCGTAGAATCATAGAAATGTAGAGTTGGAAGGGATCATGAGAGTTATCTAGTCCATCACCCTGCAATACAGGAATACTTTGCACAATGTGGGGCTTGAACCCTTGACCCTAACTGGTGTAAACCCATGCTCTACCGACCAAGCTATTTGCATGCATGGAGAACAGAAAGAAGGCAGCTGGGGCTGAGGCACCAAGAGTGTAAAATGCCCCCAACAGCCGAACAGGAGCCTCTGTGAATGTGGAAACAGGTCCATCTCCTGAGCCCTGCATTCCATCCAAAGCAACTTCCAATCCCACTTTCCTTCTGCCTTCGCTGGGAGGGATTCAAACAAAGAATCACAATACAAAGCAGGATCTTAAAGACGCCTTTCTGCCACAGTAAAAAGGAGAGGCACCAGCCTCGACATCTCTCTATTTGGCCGTTTGAGGCAAAATGTCCATTACTGTTAAGTGCTCATCCACACCCAGAGGGTCTCCAGAGATCGGCTGCTTTGCAAATTTGCATGAGTTTTGCATTTTTATTCTTATTAATGAGCAATTGCACACCACCCCTGTAGCCAAAGAGTCTCTCAAGACCAAAAATATAATATCAATACTAAGACAGCCCCTGCCCTTAGGCTCACAATTCAAGAGAGATATGACACACAAGGGAAAAGTAATGAGAGGGAGGAAGGGAAAGCAAGTTCTTCAAGTTACAGATGAAGCTAGCAGTGGTTCCATCTGTCTTGCTCTCCTAAAGCATTCTTTCCCTTCCACCTCTGAGATCAGGGCAGCCCCTACCGCACAGCTCTTCCCTAAGAAGGAACAACCACAAGCAGTGCTGGATTTATGTATAAGCTAAACAAGCTGTAGCTTAAGGTCCCACTCTCTTGGGTAGGCCCCCCAAAAAAATTTAAAGAAAAACAACAACTGGATGTACATTTCCAAAATATAAGATAGGTAAAGGTAAAGGGACCCTTGACCATTAGTTCCAGTCGTGGCTGACTCTGGGGTTGCGGCGCTCATCTCGCTTTACTGGCCGAGGGAGCCGGCGTACAGCTTCCGGGTCATGTGGCCAGCAGGACTAAGCCGCTTCTGGCTAACAAGAGCAGCACACGGAAACGCCGCTTACCTTCCGCCAGAGCGGTACCTATTTATCTACTTGCACTTTGACACGCTTTCGAACTGCTAGGTTGGCAGGAAAATATAAGATAAAAAACAAATAAAACAAAACCTACATACAGCAACAGTGTTTTGTGTTGTGTAGGCTCCTGTTTGTTATGTGCAAATGGCTTTAGATACCTATTAGGTCCATAATTACCATATAGCATATATCCAACACAAAAAAACAGTGACAATTTGTTGCTGACAAAGGACAGCTGGACAAATAAAGGGCCCCGTTACCTTCAGTAGCTTAGGGCCTCATCAAACCTAAATCCGGCCCTGACCACAAGCAACCTCAATCAGCTATTGACCCTAAATCAGCAATGCTGGCACGCTGTAGCTTTTCACCTTAGCTGTATGCAGCTGGCAGAGCCATTAGGCAGGGGGGGGGAGGCTGCCTCAGGTGCCAGAAGTCCCCCAGGCAGCACTCCTGCAGGCACCCCACCTACCCCACTGCCTCCTCCAGAGGCAAGAGAAGCGGTGGCACCATCTCACCCAAAACTGGTGTGATCTTCACTGAAATTAGCAGTGATAGCAGTGATAGCAGAGCGGATGGTGTTGGCGGCGGCGGCAGCAGCAGCAGGGCAGGGAGGCACTTCCTGTTCCACCTCAAGTGGCAAATGGGATGTGATGCCCTGGCTGTATAAATCAAAGCTTGGGATGTAGCAATAAACATGTTTCCCCTGTAGATATTACCACTCCAAGCCTTTGGCATGGGATGGGTATATTTAGAATGGGATTGGAAGGAAAATATCAGAAAGCCTGGCTTAGCCTGTCAGTGCAAGTCAGTGGACAGGGATTAAGGTTAAGACTAACAGTTTTATTACTTGCTTTAGGAGAGAGAGAGTTTGGTGGTGGATTTTTCTGTCAGGGCTAACTGCCAGATTTTCACGGCAAACTGAATTTATTTCTCCCGCATCCCAACTTGCAAGGGTCTTTGTTTACCTGCTCATCTAAGAGAGCAGCACTGCCACAAACCATCAAACAGGTTGCAGAGACGGAGCAGCAAAGAGTTAACCTGAAGCCTGGCTGAGGTTCAGTCATGATAACAGTGCTGGAAAAATACTTGGAGGATGTAATCATCTGGATGGGGAGAAAGCAATTGTTTAGGGTCAAGCAAGGGATAACATTTGTTAAAATGGGATGAAGTCAGAGGAAAACCGTGGCGGGGAGGGGAGCTTGGCTGGGGGAAAGGGGTCTTCTTAAGGG